CTCTATATATAAATATGTAAAGTTTTATATTAGTTTAAATAACCAAATAAGGTTTTATTTAGGCAATCGATACATAGCATACATTTTTACATTGGTCACGAGGACACGTGATATTGGCATCTATATATGTACTACCTTATGCAGGTATAACCTAGATAACTTATTTCCATTTTATACATACCTTTAAATTTTTACACTGGTTATATGCAGTAAGTTATGTAGAATTTAACAAAAAATAAGTACTCATAGAGATAAATTAATTTATTATGTATGTATGTATGTATGTATATATATATATATATATATATATATATATATATATATATAATATATATATATATATATATATATATATATATATATATATATATATATAATATATATATATATATATATATATATGTCGTGCCGAATAGGCAGAACTTGCGATCTTGGCTTAAATAGCAACGCTCATCTTGCCATATAGGACAATTGAAAATTTGTGTACGCAATAATTTCACCAAAATCATTCTGAACCTAACAAAAAAAATATATTTCACTGTGTTTGTTTACTATTTAATTATTGTAAACAAATCTAAAATATATTTAGTTGGGTTAGGCTAAAATAAATTGCGCTTGTTATAATAAGGTTAGGTAAGTTTTCTAAGTTCCTTTTGGTGCAAAATTATAAATTTTTACATCAACATTAATGAAAAGAATATATCTTTTCATTAATGTTGATGTAAAAATTTTAGAAAGGACTTAATTTTAAATGAGTTCATACTAATTGACCAGTTTTACATATTCGGCACGACATATATATAATATATATATATTTTTCAACAAGTCGGTCGTCTCCCACTGAGGCAGGGTGACCCACCGAGGCAGGGTGACCCACCGAGGCAGGGTGACCCACCGAGGCAGGGTGACCCAAAAAAAGAAAGAAAATCCCCAAAAAGAAAATACTTTCATCATCATTCAACATTTTCACCACACTCACACATTATCACTGCTTTTGCAGAGGTGCTCAGAACACAACAGCTTAGAAGCATATACGTATAAAGATACACAACATATCCCTCCAAACTGCCAATATCCCAAACCCCTCCTTTAAAGTGCAAGCATTGTACTTCCCATTTCCAGGACTCAAGTCCGACTATATGAAAATATCCGGTTTCCCTGAATCCCTTCACTAAATATTACCCTGCTCACACTCCAACAGATCGTCAGGTCCCAAGTATCATTCGTCTCTATTCACTCCTATCTAACATGCTCATGCACGCTTGCTGGAAGTCCAAGCCCCTCGCCCACAAAACCTCCTTTACCCCCTCTTTCCAACCCTTTCGAGGACGACCCCTACCCCTTTTCCTTCCCCTATAGATTTATATGCTTTCCATGTCATTCTACTTTGATCCATTCTCTCTAAATGACCAAACCACCTCAACAACCCCTCTTCTGCCCTCTGACTAATGCTTTTATTAACTCCACACCTCCTAATTTCCACACTCCGAATTTTCTGCATAATATTTACACCACACATTGCCCTTAGACAGGACATCTCCACTGCCTCCAACCGTCTCCTCGCTGCTGCATTTACCACCCAAGCTTCACATCCATATAAGAGTGTTGGTACTACTATACTTTCATACATTCCCTTCTTTGCCTCCATAGATAACGTTTTTTGACTCCACATATACCTCAACGCACCACTCACCTTTTTTCCCTCATCAATTCTATGATTAACCTCATCCTTCATAAATCAATCTGCCGACACTTCAACTCCCAAGTATCTGAAAACATTCACTTCTTCCATACTCCTCCTCCCCAATTTGATATCCAATTTTTCTTTATCTAAATCATTTGATACCCTCATCACCTTACTCTTTTCTATGTTCACTTTCAACTTTCTACCTTTACACACATTCTCAAACTCATCCACTAACGTTTGCAATTTTTCTTTAGAATCTCCCATAAGCACAGTATCATCAGCAAAAAGTAACTGTGTCAATTCCCATTTTGAACTTGATTCCCCATAATTTAATCCCACCCCTCTCCCAAACACCCTAGCATTTACTTCTTTTACAACCCCATCTATAAATATATTAAACAACCATGGTGACATTACACATCCCTGTCTAAGACCTACTTTTACCGGGAAGTATTCTCCCTCTCTTCTACATACCCTAACCTGAGCCTCACTATCCTCATAAAAGCTCTTTACAGCATTTAGTAACTTACCACCTATTCCATATACTTGCAACATCTGCCACATTGCTCCTCTATCCACTCTATCATATGCCTTTTCTAAATCCATAAATGCAATAAAAACTTCCCTACCTTTATCTAAATACTGTTCACATATATGCTTCAATGTAAACACTTGATCTACACATCCCCTACCCACTCTGAAGCCTCCTTGCTCATCCGCAATTCTACATTCTGTCTTACCTCTAATTCTTTCAATTATAACCCTACCTTATACTTTTCCTGGTATACTCAGTAAACTTATTCCTCTATAATTTTTACAATCTCTTTTGTCCCCTTTCCCTTTATATAAAGGAACTATACATGCTCTCCGCCAATCCCTAGGTTCCTTCCCCTCTTTCATACATTTATTAAACAAAAGTACCAACCACTCCAACACTATATCCCCCCCTGCTTTTAACATTTCTGTCATGATCCCATCAGTTCCAGCTGCTTTACCCCCTTTCATTCTACGTAATGCCTCACGTACCTCCACCACACTTACATTCTGCTCTTCTTCACTCCTAAAAGATGGTATACCTCCCTGGCCAGTGCATGAAATTACCGCCTCCCTTTCTTCCTCAACATATAAAAGTTCCTCAAAATATTCTCGCCATCTACCTAATACCTCCCTCTCCCATCTACTAATCCCCTACTCTGTTTTTAACTGACAAATCCATACTTTCCCTAGGCTTTCTTAACTTGTTTAACTCACTCCAAATTTTTTTCTTATTTTAATTAAAATATCTTGACAGTGCCTCTCCCACTCTTTCATCTGCTCTCCTTTTGCACTCTCTCACCACTCTCTTCACCTTTCTTTTACTCTCCATATACTCTGCTCTTCTTATAACACTTCTGCTTTGTAAAAACCTCTCGTAAGCTACCTTTTTCTCTTTTATCACACCCTTTACTTCTTCATTCCACCAATCACTCCTCTTTCCTCCTGCCCCCACCCTCCTATGACCACAAACTTCTGCCCCACATTCTAATACTGCATTTTTAAAACTATTCCAACCCTCTTCAACCTCCCCACTACTCATCTTTGCACTAGCCCACCTTTCTGCCAATAGTCGCTTATATTTCGCCCGAACTTCCTCCTCCCTTAGTTTATACACTTTCACCTCCCTCTTACTTATTGTTGCCACCTTCCTCTTTTCCCATCTACCTCTTACTCTAACTGTAGCTACAACTAAATAATGATCCGATATATCAGTTGCCCCTCTATAAACATGTACATCCTGGAGCCTACCCATCAACCTTTTATCCACCAATACATAATCTAACAAACTACTTTCATTACGTGCTACATCATACCTTGTATATTTATTTATCCTCTTTTTCATAAAATATGTATTACTTATTACCAAATCTCTTTCTACACATTTACCCCTGGCACCCCAAATTTACCTACTACTCCCTCCATAACATTTTTACCCACTTTAGCATTGAAATCCCCAACCACCATTACTCTCACACTTGATTCAAAACTCCCCACGCATTCACTCAACATTTCCCAGAATCTCTCTCTCTCCTCTACACTTCTCTCTTCTCCAGGTGCATACACGCTTACTATAACCCACTTTTCACATCCAATCTTTATTTTACTCCACATAATCCTTGAATTTATACATTTGTAGTCCCTCTTTTCCTGCCATAGCTTATCCTTCAACATTATTGCTACTCCTTCTTTAGCTCTAACTCTATTTGAAACCCCTGACCTAATCCCATTTATTCATCTCCATTGAAACTCTCCCACCCCCTTCAGCTTTGTTTCACTTAAAGCCAGGACATCCAGTTTCTTCTCATTCATAACATCCACAATCATCTCTTTCTTATCATTTGCACAACATCCACGCACATTCAGACTTCCCACTTTGACAATTTTCTTCTTATTCTTTTAGTAATCTTTACAGGAAAAGGGGTTACTAGCCCATTGTTCCCGGCATTTTAGTTGACTTTTACAACACGCATGGCTTACGGAGGAAAAATTCTTATTCCACTTCCCCATGGATATAAAAGGAAAAGTAATAAGACCAAGAACTATTAAGATAAAATCAAAGAAAACTCAGATGAGTGTGTATAAATAAACGTGTACATGTATGTGTAGTGTGACCTAAGTGTAAGTAGAAGTAGCAAGACATGCCTGTAATCTTGCATATTTATGAGACAGACAAAGGACACCAGCAATCCTACCATCATGTAAAACAATTACAGGCTTTCGTTTTACACTCACTTGGCAGGACGGTAGTACCTCCCTGGGTGGTTGCTGTCTACCAACCTACTACTAATATATATATATATATATTATATATATATATATATATATATATATATATATATAATATATATATATATATATATATATATATATATATATGTATGTATATATATATATATATATATATATATATATATATATATATATATATATATATATATATGTATGTATATATATATATATATATATATATATATATATATATATATATATATATATATTTATATACTATATATATATATATATATATATATATATATATATATATATATATATAATATATATATATATATATATATTATATATATATATATATATATATATATATATATATATATATATATATATATATATTATATATATATATATATATATATATATATATATATATATATATAATTTAATTATCTCAATGGGCATTTATTTTAAATCAGAATAACCAAGTTAGGTTACGTGGAAGCCAGAGTCAAGAGAGTTGGTTCACTTGTTGAAACACAGTGATCCACTCAGCTGGCTTTGTTTACTTAGACAAAATTTCAAAAATCAGTTTTTGTTTTGGCAATTAATTTACAATCTTGGTAACTATCGTTATTATAAACCTCCATTTTTTGTGTAGCCTTATCTTGTGTTGCATATTTTTTTGTGTGTTGAATTGTTCATTAGGTACTGCATGTATAACATTCAGTTTTTGAAAAAGGTTTTGAAAGAACACTTTACAGCCACGTAAAGTGCCAAGTTATGTTGAGTGAACCAAGGGTAACCTAGGAAAGTCAAATTGCGTCAATTATTTCCTTTTGAACTCCCTTATATGTTTGCTATTTTTAAATATTTTTTATTGTATTGACACGTTGTACAGGGTGAACAAAGTGCACGAGACAACGATACACCCACATTTTATGAATATCTTTTGAGTAAGTTTATTTAGGTGCACGTACACATTAGTACAATTATCATACATAGCGTAAATTACCTAGGATAACTCTCCCGAAAAAGTCAATGACTCTGCCTTTCTTGGGTTATCCTGAGTGGCTAACCCTCTGGGGTTAAAAATACAAACAAAATCTTAACTCTCTTATCCTAGGTAATTTAGTATAGTGCATTACGTGTCATTAAATCATGTTACTTGGCTTTGTTGGTTATGGTAACACTTGGTTATGATTATAATAATTGACTTTTTTGGAAATAAACCAGTGATTTTGTCAATGTTCTTAAGTCCCCAATAAGTCAGATTTCCAATATCTTACCAGTAGAGTTCACCAATGTATAAAGTTGTTAAAATTATTGGCAACCACTAGCTAGCAGAGCCTAAAATAAGCCTGAATTATTTTTTGACCCCTCGTGGAAGATTCCTTTATGCTGGTAATGAACTTTTATTCTAAAGAATTTACCTTGCAGATTCTTCCCAGAGTCTGCCTGGAGTGCGTTCTGAATCTATACCCACACGTACCAGTCCCAGATCAAGTTCATTTTGTGAGTATATTTAGGAATTAATTTGTGCTGCCCTTCCTTGGATGTAATCAGATGTAATCAGGTTTTGTTTCATTATTCTTTTCTTTACCTTCTTGCCTTCAATAGATTCAGGTTACGTTTGATAGAGTACGTATTTTGAAGTTTTAACCTTGCAAAGCCATTTGAAAGGAAGTATCTTTCAGGAAAGAATGAATTTTGTACTATGCAAGAGTTGTTACTAATGAATGTTTATCTTGATGGAGTTAGTACAGAGTTAGTTTTTAAAAAAACTAAATATTACAACATGGTAGCATATACAACCTAAAGATAAAATACTTAAAATTATTTATGCACATGTAATGTTCGTATAAATTTTATATTTCCAGATTCAAAATGTCGTCAACTGTGGTGCCAGCCCCAGACAGAGAAAATACCAGTGCTCATTTAGGAAACAAGATGAAGCAGTTTCAAGGAACTGGTAGCCACAGTAAATATGGTAGGTTTTAAAAAAGTAAACAAATTTGGTAATATTATATGGTGCATTAACCAGTAAGAGTGAGTTTTTCTCCTATCCTGTTAATGTTTTATGCTGTTTCTTGGTAATCCAGTCTTTTATGTACTGTATGCAGTTAATGAATTGCCAACAGATTTCAGGGAGTCATCAAATGAAAGTAGTGGTAATTGCTGACATTTGCTAGATATTAGCCAGCTAGCATTGCCTCTGTTTACCTAGAAGTTGGCCAGCTGTTAAATGTCAGTCTAGAGAAGAAACTCTTAAGGATCTGTGGAAATAAGCCACACTGCTTGGGTTTCTTGGGTCATCCTCGGTTATTAACCCTCTGGGGGTAAATAATCCAAAGAAACACTGGAATGCAATATGTTCTACATTATAATGACTCCTTATCCAGTGGAAATAAATTCGTGGATGCATATTGGACAATATATTTTCCATAATGTTGCATTGCTAATTGCAGTATGCACTATAAGGGCATAATTAATGTAAATATTTTTTAATTCCTTAGTCCATTTTAGGATGCTAAGGGTGTAATAGCTTAAGTCTGGTGTTACTTTGGCATTATTCTAGTGTATACTGCTCACTGTATTCATTTTGTATGTCTGAGTGTCTTTCATTTGCAGAAAGGCTTATTGAAAATTTGCTCATATTTTGTCAACTTCAGCTGCTGTAATTTTAAGACTAGTATTAGTATTCCATAAAGGGTAGTCATACAAATTGGTGGTAAAAATTTTACTAATATATACATGTGCTAATTTTCTTCTTGCAACAGGAGCATTGCCAACTGTGACCAGTCATGCACAGAAAAAATTTGGCCTGCCAATAGGGGGTTCTCAAACTGGTCAGCGATCATTTGGAGACATCAGTAACAGAATTGGCACAGTGGCTACTAAAAACCAGAGTGCTGCCAATAAAAAAATTCAAAACCAGTCTGCAAATGAGAGTAAGTATTAGGGGTGTGCCAAATTATTGGTCTTGGTGGGTATTGGCTATTTTTTTGGATATCAGTATTGGAAAAAAAAGTTGCCAATACTAGACACTTAAATAGTAAAATTTACACTACTGCACAATTGTGCAGGTTACACCTCGCACACTCGCTCCCAACAATGGCATGTTGCAGACACTGCCTCAGAATCATTTTCCAGATCACAAACATCAGCAGCATCCAATAATTGCTGATTATTCATGTTACCACAGACCTGGTGTACAGGAATTTTATATTTCTGAAAATAAATTATGAAATGTTTTTATCATTCCAGATTGGCAAAGTTTCTCATCTTCCACTGAAAAGAATTTACAACCAGAACCTGAATTCTTCCCTGAAATAACAGAAACAGAAGGTGAAATGTTTTATACTTTTTCTCATTTTGTCTACACTGTTACTGTGCAACTGCTCAGATGTCAGTATTGTATTAATAATTTTTTTCCATTGGTTGTAGTACACACTGTCTTCTCTTGGATGTAGTTTCAGCAGTCTATAACTGAAGAAATATTTTTCTCTTCTCCTTTTCATACAACTCTTCCATAGTTTGCTATTATGGTCTCTTGTTCCAAATCATTCTTGCACCCCAAGTGATACCTGTTAAGTGTGCAGACATGGACATTTGCTAGTTGTGCTCTGCAACCTTGTTGCCAGGGGTAATGCTGCAGTTTTTTTGTATACTTTTCTTGTTAAAGTTAAATGTATTTTTATTGGTTTCTGCAAGTCTAATCTAGCCTAAAATAGAGAATGGTATTTCTAAAGAAATGTAAAAATAGTATTTCTAAATTAATGTAAAAGGACAGGTTTTCTGTTCTCCATTGATACCAGTAAATCTTATATTTCTTTATTTTTTTTCCTTTAAGATTTTTGTTTGGTTTAGTTTTTTCACTCCTGTCTAGGAATTGAGGTATTTTTAAAGTCTTCAATTTTCATAATTCATATTTTGCCAACTTTGCAATCCATTCTGTATCATTAGTTTATTTTTTCATTTACACATTTAGTTTATTTTTTCATTTACATTTTTTTTTTAACCACCTGTCACTAAAGCTATTTTAAATTTAGCAAAATTAAATATTAGCATAAGTGTTTGTAAATAACACACTGGGGATAACTTGTTTATAATTGCCCTGGTTGATTTCCCAAATGCTACCACATTTTTAATTTTCTTGACTAAGTTTTGGTTGCATCCACAATTTTTGTTACTGTACCATAGGTCTGGTGCTTTTAAGATTGTCCTAACCTGTAACATAAATGAAATCTTTATAAATTTAGTGTGAACACCCAACAGGCTTGTGAGTGTTGTAGGAGCAAGTTGAGGCAAGTGATTTTTTTGTGACTTGGTGCATTGTTGGAGTTTGAGAAAAGTAACATTTATGAAGGGATTCAGGGAAACTTGTTGGCTGGACTTGTTCTAGAGGTTGTAAGTACATCTCCTACACTCTGAAGGCATGGTGTTGGAATATTGCAGTGTGAAGGGTCATCTGAACTATGATGTTGGCACCCTTCTGGCAAGACAGTGATTGAATGAGTGTTTACTTAACACTTTGACAGTTGCAAGCCCCTTTCTGAAACTGTCATTCTACGTCGCAAAAATTTTGGAAAAAAAGAAATTATTTTTTCTTGTGAAATGACAGAGACTTTTCCCGATGGTAATGACGCCAAAAGTACGAAATTTGGTTGAAAACTCGCGGAATTACGCTCCCGCGAAGTTAGCGGTCTCGGCAACATATATGCATCATCAATTTCGCTAACTTGAGCCCTGTTTTTGGCCAATTCCATTGTTCCAGTTGACCAAACTCATAGCCATTTCTTTAGAACTCCATTTTTTTTTCTATCAATTGAGTACAAGAAACTGCCCATTTACTGATTTGAACTACCCAATAAAGTGGTCAGAAATTGGCAATTTGGCCAATTTCACACAAATTAAAAAAGATGCCAATTTCAAAATAGGGTCCAGAATAAACATTTTAGACATTCTTGGCACTAAAATAACATGTCCTCTGTTCATTAGTCACATCTCTAGGCCTCTCTTATATTACTATTGCTTTCAAGCGTGCGTGAGCGTGTTAGATAGGAGTGAATGGAGACGAATGGTACTTGGGACCTGACGATCTGTTGGAGTGTGAGCAGGGTAATATTTAGTGAAGGGATTCAGGGAAACCGGTTATTTTCATATAGTCGGACTTGAGTCCTGGAAATGGGAAGTACAATGCCTGCACTTTAAAGGAGGGGTTTGGGATATTGGCAGTTTGGAGGGATATGTTGTGTATCTTTATATGTGTATGCTTCTAGACTGTTGTATTCTGAGCACCTCTGCAAAAACAGTGATAATGTGCGAGTGTGGTGAAAGTGTTGAATGATGATGAAAGTATTTTCTTTTTGGGGATTTTCTTTCTTTTTTGGGTCACCCTGCCTCGGTGGGAGACGGCCGACTTGTTGAAAAAAAAAAAAAAAAAAAAAAAAATACAAAATTTACTGTTATGCAGACTACTGCATTATTGTAAAAATGGTATAAATAACATCGGTGCACTAGTGAAAGAATATTAGACTACCCAGTTGACATGTATTGGACATAAGAACATAAGAAAGAGGGAACACTGCAGCAGGTCTACTGACCCATGCGGAGCAGGTACACCCCCCCCCCCCCCAGATTAGCCCAATGACCCACCCAGTCTGGTCACCTCCACTTGAGGAAGGAGCACAGCACCAGACCCAGCAGCACAAGCTAGTCAGGTCCAACTCGCACCCACTCGTGTATTTATCTAACCTATTTTAAAAATTCACAACGTTTTAACCTCAATAACTCTACTCGGGAGTTTGTTCCACTCGTCCACAACTCTATTACCAAACCAGTGCTTTCCTATATTCTTCCTGAATCTGAATTTTTCCAACTTGAAACCATTGCTGCGAGTCCTGTCTTAGCTGGAAATTTTCAGCACACTATTTACATCCCCTATTTACACTAGTGAAAGAATACAGTGGACCCCCGCTTTACGATCACCTCCCAATGCGACCAATTATGCAAGTGTATTTATGTAAGTGCGTTTGTACGTGTATGTTTGGGGGTCTGAAATGTACTAATCTAATTCACAATATTCCTTATGGGAACAAATTCGTTCAGTACTGGCACTTGAACATACTTCTGGAATGAAATAATATCGTAAACCGGGGGTCCACTGTATTAGACTCCCCAGTTGACGTGTATTGGACGTGTGATGTGATTTGCTTACTCTTGAACATTGGTAAAAATCGAACATTTCCGCTACTTCGAGCTCAACTTCAAAGTCTTTGTCATCGTGAAACTAATCAAAATCGTCTCTTGTCTGCAGTGTGTTTTTCATTTTATCACGCGAGACCATGAAGACGAGAACACAGCAATAATTACTGTGTGAAAATACACCTCAGTCGGCGTTTTAATCCAAAAAAAGGTCAGTTTTTTTTTCTCATTATGCAGTGCGTGCTGCAGGATTTTTTTATGTGGTACACACTGACCACACAGACCCAGTCTCTTGCATGTGGGCCTACCAGCTTTCTCCTGCTTGATTTGAAGCCGCTAGAATTATTGAGTATATATACGTCCAAAACACTGGCTCGTAAGATGTATATATATGACCAAAACAGTCAAAGGGTTAATTGGGTTACCTTTCCTCAGTGGGAGACAGCCAATGTTAAAAAAAGTTTCCTGTGCTTTCTGATTTTTTTTTATAAAATGAAGCTATTTGGTAGTGAATATTCTTGATTTTTTTCTTGTATAAAGCTTGTTTTTTTTTCTGTGATGAAGGCTAATTAAATTTCCTCTTCCAGATTACTTTGACATTTTTCCATCGTCCCTCCATTTTTCGGATGAACACCTCTCGCAGCTCGTTAAATTCTGGGAATTGTGCCGTCTACCTGAATTGAGCACTCTTCCTTCTGCCATTCAGAGTTCGCCCCCAAGGCATCTTTCATTGAGTAGCGTTCAAGGCAAGTTAAAAATGATGTATTTAACACTGGTATAGTATCTCTGTCTTAATCTACATGTTGGAGTAAACTTCTAAGTTTTGTAATTTGTATTCTTCTATCTCTTATACCTTGAAGTAACTATTTTTGAGTTTCTTTTTTGGGTCACCCTGCCTCTGTGGGAAACAGCCTACGTGTTAAAAAAAAAATCGGGTGTGAAAGTAGTGATAGTATTGGTATTTGTTTAAAAATAAGCATCAGTATCGTTGAGTGTCTGCTAATTTTCAATGTAAGTATTGGTGCCAGTATCAGCCTAAAATTGAGTATCAGCCTCTGCAATAATGTTAGTATTGCCCTATCCTTGACTATAACTGTCCTGCCAAGTGAGTGTAAAACGGAAGCCTGTAATTTTTTACATGGTAGGATTGCTGGTGTCTTTTTTTTTTTTTTTTTTTCTCGTAAACATGCAAGATTTCATGTGTCTTGCTACTTCTATTTACACTTGGGTCACACTACACTTGCATGTACAAGCATATATATACACACCCCTCTGGCTTTTGTATTTTCTTACTAGTTCTTGTTTATTTCCTCTTATCTCCATGGGGAAGTGGAACAGAATTCCTCCTCCGTTAGCTATGTGTGTCATAAGAGGCAGCTAAAATACTGGGAGCAAGGGGTTAATAACCCTTTCTCCTGTATATACATATTATTAAAGTTAAAAAGAGAAACTTTTGCTTTTCTTTTTGGGCCATCCTGCTTTTGTGGGATATGGCTGTTTTGTTGAAAGAAGATATAAATATGTAGATAGAAATGTATATTTACTCTATGGGGTAGTGGAAAAGAATCTTTCCTCCATAAGCAATGCGCGTCTTAAAAGGGAACTAAAATGCTGAGAGCAAGAAGCTGAGGAGAGGTTGTCGAGGTAGTTAGGTCATTTAGAGAAGTTGCATAGTGTATCAATCTGTAGTGGAGGGAAGGTTGGGTAGGGGTTGCCCTTGGAAAGGTTGGAGGGAAGAGGTAAAGACTGTTTTAAAGTTTTGTTGCATGGAAAAAACTTCGGCTAACATAAATCTAATGCAAAAATGGGTATAATGAGGTGCTTTGATGCTGGTGAGGGCTCTTGAACCAGGGAATTGGAGTTACCATTTCCTTGGCTCAAACTTGGTTGCCTTTCATTCCCCATTCACTGTAAGACTAGATTTTAATGCTTCTCCATAAATTTTATATTAATAGGGAAACTTGTGATATCTTTTCCTAAACAATAACACATGCTAAATTAGTGTCAGAAATGTATACTGTACCTAAATCAATAAAATTTTTACCCTCAGATAAAGAGCCTGTCTATTTGGAGCCGGTCTTGGAGGAGATATACGACTTGCCACCACCACCATGGGAATAAAAATACATGGATGAAGATCAAATTTAAAGCATGAAGGTGTGTTTGTGGCACAGTGAATTTTTTGTGTATTTTAAGCAAGACTACTGTCGTATGTGAACGGTGTACTGTATCTAGAACTTTACTACACAATTGTAAACTGATTTCTTTTATTGGGTACTGTATTAAAACCTGTAATCCATAGATGCTGTGTTCGAGCATTGTTTTAAGCATCATGCATCGGCATAATTTGCCACAAAAATAACACCAGATTTCTTAGTTGCATGTCCCATCACTTAGTTTCATATGATTCTTTTTATTTTGTTACCCAAGTAATTTCTTTCACTATTTGTTTAAATTTGTATTCACCAAATATTTTTGGGTTTATTAAGTTCTAAATTGTATGGCATTTTTTCTCAAATGCAAAACTGAAATACTCATTCTATTAAAAACTCGGTGTTCTTTAAAGCAGGGTATATTTTCAGTAAAGATAAAAAGTGCAGCTTTATATTTTTGTCTCATTGCAGGGAAAAATTAAAAATTCAGGTTTCAGGGATACCAAAGAATGTGTACAGTGCTTAGTCTAGTTTTCACACTGTTGTAAAAGACTAATATAAGATAGGCAAAGTCTTATTATTCTTGTCCTTGATGCTTGTGACCTTATCAATGGCTAATGTATTATCCATTTTTTTTTTTTTCTAATTTTTAAGGGTGCCTTACATGGAAAAAAATTGCCTGTTCTTACAAATAAAGCCTTTGGTAGTTTTGTTGTATAAACAAAAAAATAAAAAAGGATGCATCTTTTTGAAAAATGTTTTTATTTGAAAAAATAATTAAGTGGATGAGTTTGCATTCTCTACTTTTTCAGCCTTTGTTTTCCCTTGGCAAACAAATTGCATTTTATTAATGGTAAGTGGCATTTTTAAATGTAAATATGCAACTGCATTTCATTGACATCGTTGTTAAGACTTGTATCATTATTTTTACTAACTTTTTTATATTTTGTATTTTTATTTTAGTTATAGGTATAACACTTTGTAATAGTGAGCACTTTGTAATACACTGTACTGTATGTATAAAATAAATACTGCTAATATTGATATAACTGAACCTTTTTCAATGTGTACTATAGACATGCATTAATGCTGAATTTTGGTGATGCCCTTATAATCCAGAAAGAAATTATCTGGAATTCTAAGGTACAGTATTCACAATTCTCAGACTTCCTGTCACTTATTACACTTTGTAGTTACTAAATGGACTTAGTTGCACATTGTCCCTGCGAGATTCACTTAGAATCTACCAAAGAAAGTTTGCTTACATTATATTAACTGTGTTGTTCGTGCCCTGCAATAATGTCTTGAACCTCCAAGTTAATGGAAGAGACTTATTCTTCCTAAGAAAAATTGTTCATGGAGAAATGCCAACCCTATAGGGGTCGTGCAGCACCTGTGGATTGGAAGGTAATCAGGATTGATTGATGAAGGGAAGGGTAGCTCCCATTTACTCATCAAAAGATCTTTACCAGAAACCCCACCCTCTAGTGGGGGTTCCTGATACCAGTGAAATGTTCTTCATCCAAGGAATTAGACCTGTCTTTTTCTTGGATAAATAATTGCTGCCCCTTCCCAAGGCACTGCAGCGCTGTATAGCTCTTGTGGCTTAGCGCTTCTTTTTGATTATAATAATAATTCCCAAGGCACTGTATCCCCCCTACCTCTGTGGATTTAGCTCTTCACTCTAAACAATTTTGCACATAGTAATCCCTATTCTCTCGCATCATCCTCACGGCTCTGTAGAACCTATATAGGTTGCATGCATAATTTTTAATACAGTAGCACAAAAAAGCACTCTGAAAGGAAAGTAAACAGATTGATGGGTAGGGGAGGTACTCTCTCCCTTTATCCATATTGCTGCCAATGATGGCACCAATACATGGCTTAGGGCTGCTGTCTGGTTGATAGGGAAGGGTAGGAAACTTTTGTTGTGCATAAAACTCGGGCACATATTGTACAGCATAGGACTAAACCTGTACTGCTTACACCTAGTTCGAGCAGGCAACCCTGAACTCTTCAGGCATTTGAATGTGCACACCCTACAAGGGATCTACTACCGTGATGCTTGTACAGGATTCTTTATCCAGAGAATTGGAAAGACTGCCTCCTTGGATTGAACCTGCTTGCCTTTTATTTCCCAGATGCTGCATTACCCCTGTGGGCATAGCACTTCCCACATAACTATAATAATGAATGCACACTTTCCTGAGTTAAGGGTTCTGAACCTATAGGAACAAAATCTACAATTTATAAGTTTACCATATGTGTAGTATGTAAATTTTAAAGACTATTGGAGTGTAAGCTGTTTATATAATAGTCACCTGTCTTCTGTACCTTTTTTTTTTTTTTTGTGCTTTTTCTTTCCTTCCTCATAGCAGCTAGTTGATGAGCAGGAACAATATACAGTAGTTCACTGGTGAAACCCTTATGCTATCAAGCAACAGTTCCTAAGTTTGATTCCAAGAGTGGGGAGGTGAGAAAGTTTTATGCCTCTCCATGCCAAGCAGTAGAAATAGATAACTACTGGTATATAATAACCCACTTTAGTGAGCAGCATCCATAAAAATGTTTCTCGACAAATGTCAAAAAAAAATATCTTGACATTTGCACCCTGATCAAAATGCCATGTGTAAGAAAAATTATAACTTGCTGCAAGTATTCAGATGTTGAGTAAAATGTTTAAGCAAATAGCAATGTATAATAAAAAAAAATTAGAGGTAGTGCCTTCATACCAAGAAACTATCTTGATTCAAGGAATAGGAGCTCCTGTCCTCTAAACTTGATTACCTCTCATTTCCCAGGCATTGTATAATCCCTACAGATTTAACCCTTTCCCACAGTGCTGTTTGACCCTTTTGGGTTTGGTGCTTTGTATAATTATTAATTAGAGCTTCCTCGTGAATATAATAATTCCCTCCCTCCAGGGAGGAGTTGCATAAAACCAGTACATAATCTGACAGCACAATCAGGTTCTTATCATCATTATTTTAGATACAGCACCAGCATGGAGCCCACACTTGAGAAAATACTGCATGCTTAAAAGCTAAGCAAAGTTCACAGATTTGTAGCTAGATTGGTTCCTTTGCTGATAGACCCTGATATGACCCTGGTGAGTCATACAGCTCTGATTAGCTGATCAAGTTGAAATATAAGGAGAGGCTCAAAGAAGTTTAACCTAATGCAATTGGAAGAGAAGTACCTGGGGAGATATGAAAATTACATGCAAGGTATAAAATAATTTCCCATTCCCAATTTGTGTAATAATTCCATTAAATAAACTACAGGGGCAGATTAGATAGTGCAGGGTGAATTATACAATGAAGTTGCAATAATAATGAATTGGCTACTTGCAATGCAGATGATGCCTTGATTCTGGAAGGCTCATGCTCCCATCAAGGAAGGTCCTTTGATGATGAGGAGCTCTTGATCCAAGAAGCTTAATTTATACTCTTCCTTTGGATCAAACCTAAATGCCTTCCATTCCTCAGGTGCCATATGACCCCTATGGGTCTAGTGCTTACCTCTGATAAAAAAAAATAATGGTCAAACTCAGTTACCTTTTAATCACGAGTCATTGTTCCCCTCAAGGGAGGTGCCTTTATATTTGGATGTGTTCTTGTTCAAAGGAAGTGGATATATATTTCTCTTCGGATTGATTATTATAATTATTGGGGAGCACTAAACCCATAGGGTTATACAGTGCATGTGGGGGGAATGGAAGGTATTCGGACTCAATTCAGGGAAGTGGAGCACAGATCTAATTCCCTAAATCTAGAGTCCCTCGCCACCATCAAGGAACCTCCCTTGAGGCGTCTTTGGATTGAACCTGAGTGCTTCCCCTTCCCATGCCCTGTATGATCCCTACGGGTTTAGTGCTTTTTCCTTAAGTAAGTTTATTCAGGTATACACAAATACAGTTACATAGATTATCATACATAGCAGGATATGTGTAGAGAGCCTAGGATGACCCAAAAAAGTCAGACAGTGACTTATTTCTTGACCCAGGGAACTGCAGTTACACTCCTTGCCCTTTGATCTAACCTGATTATGTACTCCCATATCCAAAGTTGTGTGTGACCCCTTTGAGTTTAGAATTCCCTGCATTGTATGACCCATTTTGGTTTACACTTCCCCAGGAATATCTTAATACTTCAGGATGACCTGTTAGGCAGGCGTGCGTGAGCGTGTTTGATAGGAGTGAATGGAGACGAATGGTATTTGGGACCTGACGATCTGTTGGAGTGTGAGCAGGGTAATATTTAGTGAAGGGATTCAGGGAAACCGGTTATTTTTATATAGCCGGGCTTGAGTCTTGGAAATGGGAAGTACAATGCCTGCAGTCTAAAGGAGGGGTTCGGGATATTGGCAGTTTGGTGGAATATGTTGTGTATCTTTATACTTCTATGCTTCTAAGCTGTTGTGTTCTGAGCACCTCTGCAAAAACAGTGATATGTGTGAGGTGAAAGTGTTGAATGATGATGAAAATATTTTCTTTTTGGGAATTTTCTTTCTTTTTGGGTCACCCTGCCTCAGTGGGAGACGGCCAACTTGTTTGTTGAGGTGGTTTGGTCATTTAGAGAGAATGGATCAAAGTAGAATGACATGGAAAGCATATAAATCTATAGGGGAAGAAGGCGAGGTAGGGGTCGTCCTCAAAAGGATTGGAGAGAGGGGGTAAAGGAGGTTTTGTGGGTGAGGGGCTTGGACTTCCAGCAAGCGTGCATGAGCGTGTTAGATAGGAGTGAATGGAGACGAATGGTACTTGGGACCTGACGATCTGTTGGAGTGTGAGCAGGGTAATATTTAGTGAAGGGATTCAGGGAAACCGGTTATTTTCATATAGTCGGACTTGAGTCCTGGAAATGGGAGTACAGTGTCTGCACTTTAAAGAGGGGTTTGGGTATTGGCAGTTTGGAGGGGTATGTTGTGTATCTTTATACATATATGCTTCTAAGCTGTTGTATTCTGAGCACCCTCTGCAAAAACAGTGATAATGTGTGAGTGTGGTGAAAGGGGTTTTAATGATGATAAAGTATTTTCTTTTGGGGATTTTCTTTCTTTTTTGGGTCACCCTGCCTCGGTTGGAGACGGCCGACTTGTTGAAAAAAAAAAAAAATATATATATAATATATATTAATATATATATAATATATAATATATATATAATATATATAAAAATATATATATATATATATATATATATATATTATATATATATATAATATATATATATTATAAGCAAAAACCACTCTGAAGAATAGAGAAATTCCAAGCGCTTTCGTGACTACTCACATTATCAAGGAACTAGTTCCTTGATAATGTGAGTAGTCACGAAAGCGCTTGGAATTTCTCTATTCTTTCAGAGTTGGTTTTTTTTCATGTTCTGAAATCACCTGTTTACTGTGATCTTATTGCATATATATATATAAATATATAATATATATATATATAAAATATATTAAAATATATATTATTTTTTATTTATATATATATATATATATATATATTATAATATATATATATATATATGGGGTGTGTGTGTGTGTGGTGTGTGTGTGTTTGTGTGTGTGTGTGTGTGTGTGTACTCACCTAATTGTGGTTGCAGGGGTCGAGATTCAGCTCCTGGCCCCGCCTCTTCACTGATCGCTGTGTGTGTGTAGATAGAGAGAGGGGGAAAAATCGTTGTAAGCAGAAATCAGGGAGAACCTTGAGTTTTCCCTGAAGCAAGTTTATTCTTTTCTCTGAGGATGAGGGTCCCTTGGACAGTTCCAAAGGTGGTACCTCCCTATATTTTATATACGTACGTACATATATATAAATTTTTCTACCTGTCATTCATTAACGCATATTGTTCTTCAAATTTCTATATATTCTATCGACTTCGTAAAAACTTTGTAAAATAAAAATGATTCCACAAGTACATTATCATGCTAAAATTACTTAATAAATGTACTTTAACATACCAATTATTTAAGACAGTACAAAATAGAATTAAATTTTACAAATAAAGGAAGTCGAGGGTTGAGGAGCTGCAGAGTCAGAGGAAAACAAACATGACTGCTGACCGGGAGCAATGTCTCTCAGATTATCGTCGGAGGCTGATAGAGCACCGCGAAGTCGACTCAAAACTAAGGAAGTGTAAGTAAATGTAGCTAGATGGAGTCGTGTATGTGTTTCTGTCAGCCTAACGGAAGAAATACGTTCAGTGACAGGGCGGACCCCAACTGTCAGTGCAGTACAACTTTATTTCTTTCCGCAGTATACGAAATGTAGTTTGTTAGGTAAGACACATATGCAACAGTTAGACAACTTTATTCCGAAACGTTTCGCCTACACAGTAGGCTTCTTCAGTCGAATACAGAAAGTAGGCAGGAACAGTAGAGATGTGAAGACGATGTAATCAGTCCATCACCCTTAGAGTCGTAGAATTTGAGGTTGTCAGTCCCTCGGCCTGGAGAAGTTCAGTTCCATAGTCAGGAACTATCTGATAGTTCCTGACTATGGAACTGAACTTCTCTAGGCCGAGGGACTGACAACCTCAAATTCTACGACTCTAAGGGTGATGGACTGATTACATCGTCTTCACATCTCTACTGTTCCTGCCTACTTTCTGTATTCGACTGAAGAAGCCTACTGTGTAGGCGAAACGTTTCGGAATAAAGTTGTCTAACTGTTGCATATGTGTCTTGCCTAACAACCTGTCGGTATTGTATACCATTTTGATGTTCATCTCGAAATGTAGTTTACATATAATCAAATATTGTTAACCACAAAGGAAAGCCATTAACATGCAGTGCATTTAGCTGTTTTATTTTGAATTTTTAGGTTTATTTTATTCGGATTCTTAATCCAGAGAGTTAATGACCCAGAATAATAATATTTCTACCAGTACATGTACAAGGTATACAGACCATAGCTGACATCAATGACATACTACTATATAGAAAGCCCCTTGTTATGCAGTTCATGTCGGGCAAAGTAGGTCAATTTTGTCCCAGGATGCGACCCACACCAGTCAACAAACACCCAGGTGATTATCAAATGGTATACAATACCGACAGGTTGGTAGATAAGACACATAGGCAACATTTGGGCAACTTTATTCCGAAATGTTTCGCCTACACAGAAGGCTTCTTCAGTCGAGTACAGAAAGTAGGAGGGAGCAGTAGAGATGTGAAGACGATGTAATCAGTCCATCACCCTTGAAGGCGTAGATTTGATGTTGTCAGTCCCTCAGCCTGGAGAAGTTCTGTTCCAAAGTCTGAAACTAACTGAAGATCAAGCGACAGTGTTGAGACTTAGTAGTATTTAAGTCTCAACACTGTCGCTTGATCTTCAGTTAGTTTCAGACTTTGGAACAGAACTTCTCCAGGCTGAGGGACTGACAACATCAAATCTACGCCTTCAAGGGTGATGGACTGATTACATCGTCTTCACATCTCTACTGCTCCCTCCTACTTTCTGTACTCGACTGAAGAAGCCTTCAATGTAGGCGAAACGTTTCGGAATAAAGTTGCCTATGTGTCTTATCTACCAAACACCCAGGTACCTATTATTACTGATGGGTGAACATGGACAACAGGTGTAAGGAAACGAACCCGGACCCTCACCACATGAAGTGAGACTTGCCACCAGGCCACGGGCCACCAGCCACTATGTTTGGCTTCCATTTAGATGTTTTGATGCTCTTCCCCAAGATGCAACCCATAACACTGGCCCAACACTTGTCAAATCTGAATAAAAACTAGACTCGGATACCTACTTACTGCTAAGTGAATATAATGCAGGAACACTAGTAGGATGTAGTATATCTAACATACATGTATCTATATTGTGATCTGATCTTATCTTTAATATTAATGTAAATAACTCACTTTACCTTATTCCTAGTTTATCTCTTTTTATTGTTTAAATAATAAGTTAATACAAGGACCCCAGTGAAATAACGGTTATCCTGGGTAATCTACACATATACTGCTATGTATGATAATGTATGTAACTGTACTGGTGTGTACCTGTACCTGAATAAACTTACTAGGCCTATTGGCCCATGGTACACAGGTCCAGTTCACACCCACTCATGTACCTCTCCGACTTATGTTTAAAGTTACCCAAAGTTCCTGCCTCAATAACTCTACCTGGGAGTTTGTTCTACTCATCCACACCTCTATTACCAAACTAGTACTTCACAGTTAACATTCTAAATAAAAAAAATTCCAACTTTAATATATTGCTGCAAGTCCTATCTTGATTAGATACTTTCAACAGGCTAAGTGTATTCCCTGTATTCCTGTTTTCCATTTGTACAAAGTTTTTTTTCCCCTAATTCTGTGCCTTTCCAAAGAGTGCAAGTTCATTGTCTTTAGTTTTCTAATATACATGGAATCTTTTATCATCCTTCTCAGTGTATTTTTGAGTGCATTTATTTGCATCCTGTAATATGGAGACCAGAATTGAATAGAATAATCTAAATGAGGTCTATCCAAAGATATATATAACTGAAGTACAGTGTATAATCTTAGGACTTCTATTTATACTTCTTGAAATGAAGTTAAGAATTTTATTAGCTTTATTGCAAATACTTGTGCACTATTGTCTTAGCTTAAAATATCAGCCAACCAGTATGTCTAGTTCTCTTTTTATTCACTTTCCCTAAGATTTATATTGTTTAGTTTATATATGCCCTAGTTATTTCCTTTTCCTAGTGTTACACCCTTACATTGATTCGCATCTGCAGCTTCTCTGACCATAAACAGTAACTTGTCTGAGTTACATTAAGTGGACTTATTTTATCCCTAACTTATTCTAATATACCAAAGAGACTCATAGGATTGGTCTTGGATTCCTACTTTATGAAATATGATTATGGAAATTTACTTTTGTCAGGCATATACGTATGTATACAATGAATTTTAGAAAGATTACTTTTTGTTATTGCACACACTACACTTAATTTCTATACATAAAATAATACTATACCTATGATTGTTAGGTAGCGTATGTGATTCTTCAAACCTAAATAGCCAAAATATTATTAAGATTTAAAAAAAATTACATGATAGAAATTAATTAAATTCAGATTCGTGATTGCCACAATAAAATTAGCTTAAAACCAGTTTGGTTTCTGAACTGAATATGAAGTTAAATTGTGTTAGCTAGTGTAATCTGAACAATATCTTGATCTGTCTTAAATACAATATACAGAAGGGCCCCACTTTATGGTGTTGTGCTAATATGGACATTTCAAATTTTGACCAAAACTTGCTATACGTTCCCCCCCCCCTACCCCTTGACTAATACGGTCACTGCGCACCACTTGGTATGTTTACATTCTCCGTGAGCTCAGTTTGTTTCCATTATGTGTGGAAACTCCAAAATTTCAAGTGTGTGAAAGTTATTGCATATTTTATATATACAGTGGTACCTTGACTTAAGAGTTGAATCCATTCCGTGACCTAGCTTGTAACTCAGTTTGTTCGTATATCAAATCAATTTTCCTTATTGAAATTAATTGAAATGCCATTAATCTGTTCCAGCGGAATTCCTGCTCTCAGGAGGCAGGAGAAAATAATTCAATATAACGCTAATATAAACTCTATGGCTTATTTTTTTATCACAATTGATCTAATATGACATAATAAACAATATAAATAACATAGAAATGTGATATATACTCTAGAATGAATAAAATACATGTCATCATGTGACGAGTGGTGACGGCCACTCCCGATCTGACTAGATCTTCCCCTTCTGAAAACGGAGCATTTCTGAGGCTAACTGCACTTGATCACTAGTTTTGTAAGGAAAACAGTGTATTTATAAATAAGAAATAATGTATAAAAGCATAATAGAGATTGTAAAGAAATAAACTGGTTTTATGAAGTGTATGTAATTACCCTGGAGAATAGATGCTGGCGGAGGTGGAGGGTGGGCACACCTCGCTCATATTTATCCATGATTTCATTCTTTAAGTCATTGGACATCATCCTCTTTTTCTTCTCAGCACTGTCATTTGCACTTACTTTCTTAGGATCCATGGTTAGAAAAAAGAAATTTGGCAAAATAACTGCACAAAACACAAGCACAACACGAGAAATGCTTCCACGGTGAGGTAAACACGTGCGATGCTGAGCGGATGTTGTGGTGTTCGCTGTGCCAACTAGTGGCGGTGTTCTGAAGCTCGCTCATTACTCAGATTTTGGCCCGTAACTCAGAGCAAAAAATCAACCAAGGGACAGCTCGTAAATAGAAAAATTCGTATGTTGGGGCACTCGTAAGTTGAGGTTCCACTGTACTCTGATAATTATACTTATGTGTACCTGTACCTAAATAAACTTAGTGCTGGTGTGCAGGTACACATTAAAATCACTAAGTGTGTCTCACTAGTGTTGAAGAAACCTTAATAATAACAATGATTAAATGTCGTATACAGTAGTCCCACCAAATTCATGGGGGGGTTACGTTCCACAACCACCCGCAAATTTGGAAAAACCGCGAATTCTGCACGCGGTTAAAAAAATGCCTATAAATGCCTATTTTTATAGCTTAGACTCTAATTTCAAACTCAGCTTCATACATCACCCTTAAAAACAAAAAAAAATGTAAAGATAAACCCGTATACAGTACTGTACTGCTATGTCTCCCGCAGTGCTAGAATGTAAAATACCGATGTTACCCCCATATGTACTGTGATTCATGCAACCCCATTTTCTTTGTATATGTATGGTAAATATACGGTAATAATTTAATTTAGTCAAAGCATTATATTTTATGTGGAAATTTTGTTGAATTTACATTAATATTTATGTTACAAAATTATTAAATTATATTTTTCTTAATATTTAGTGTTAAAACACACAAAAAATTATATATTGCCACAACCCCCCCCCCCCCCCCCAAAAAAAAAAAAATCCATGAATTTGTGGCTATTTATGCAAACGATTATTAATTAGGTTCTAAGGAAAAATCCACCAATTACTGAAGCCACTGTATATGTGATTGGGTGACAGTATATTAACCCTTTGAGGGTCGACAGGCCCTCTCCGAAACTCGTTCTCAGGGTCGGCCAAATTTAAAAAAAAAAAAAAAATTTTGTTTCTTATGAAAAGATAGAGAATCTTTTCCCGATCATAAAGACACCAAAAGTTTGAAATTTGATAGAAAACTTACGGAATTATGCTCTCGCAAAGTTAGCGGTCTCGGCGATGTTTACGCATCGGCGATTTTGCCCACTTTGAGCCCCATTTTCGGCCAATTTCACTGTACTAGTCGACACAAAACATGAATATTTCGCTAGAACTCCATTTTTTCTATCGAATGGGTGCAAGAAACCACTCATTTATGAAACTCAACTATCCAGTACAGTGGTCAGAATTTAGCAATTTTGCCAATTTCACACAAATTTCAAAAGATGCCAATTTCCGAATAGGGTCCAGAATAAACAAGAAAGACATTCCTGGCACTAAAATGACATTTCCTCTAGTCATTATTCACGTCTCAAGGCCCCTCTTATATTCTTTTGCTTTCCACTTTGAATTTTTATTTTCACAAAAAATATAAGATTTACTGTTATGCAGACTACTGCATTAGTGTAAAAAATGGTATAAATATTATTGGTGCACTTGTGAAAGAATATTAGACTCGCCAGTTGACGTGTATTGCACGCTTGGCACGATTTGTTTACTTTTGAAGTTTGGTAAAAATCGAACATTTCTGCTACTTTGAGCTCAATTTCAAGGCACCTTTCTTTGTAAAACCAGTCAAAATCATCTCTATTTCTGTAATATGTCTTCCATTCTATAAAATGAGACCAAGAAAACTAGAATACAACAATAAATACCATACGAAAATACACTGCAAAGTCGCTGATTTATTCAAAAAAAATGGTCAAAGTTTTTTTTTTCTCATTATGCACTGTGTGCTGCAGGATTTTTTTTAGACTGTGCACACTGACTACATAGACCCATTCTTTCATATGAAGGCCTACCAGCTTTCTCCCACTAGATTTGAGGCCGCTAGAATTTATGAGTACTAGTACGTCAAAAACCCCTACGCGTAAGACGTACTAGTACGACGAAAACCCTCAAAGGGTTAAACAAAACTGTTCTATATTAAGCTTCTTGGTGGACCTTAATTACAGTGAGAGAGGAGAAGAAAGAGTTAGACAAGCAATATGATAAGAGTGAGAATGACCTCAAGGCTCTGCAGAGTGTTGGCCAGATTGTTGGAGAAGTTTTAAAGCAGCTTACTGAAGAAAAATTCATTGTGAAAGCTACAAATGGCCCTCGTTATGTTGTGGGTTGCAGACGCCAACTTGATAAGGGCAAACTCAAGGTCAGTGTCAACTCTGTTTTAAATTGTAATTGTATTCGCTTTCATTAAGAGTTATGTTTAGCTTATAAATGCCCTAGTAATTTCAGATTCATTACTTTTTGATGTTTTGAGTTAGGTATGTAAATGTGTGTGTGTGTATTTATGCATATAATATCAAATAAATATAAATGTAAGAGTGTGTGCTCACTGAGTGAGTTTGGAGCATAAATGTGAAATGGAACATTATTATTTTAGGACTATTAATAGTTTTGTTTTTGCATGTTAGACTATTTTACAGTTAAAGGTACTTTATATTGACTCCTAAAATTCCAGATTCATAGTACATATGGGCATTTAAATTACATGTATTAGTTAACTAAGTTTTCTGTTGTTTAGTCTGGTACACGTGTGGCACTGGACATGACAACTCTAACAATCATGAGGTACCTACCCCGTGAAGTTGACCCTCTTGTGTACAATATGAGCCATGAAGATCCTGGTGATGTCACATACAACAAAATTGGAGGTTTGGCTGAACAGATTCGTGAACTTAGAGAGGTAAGAAAACAGTGGCATGAACAGAGGAGAAACTGAAGTTTTAGGTTTATGCATAATTTTTTGAAAACTGCTTCCATCAAAGGACATGAGAGCAACTAATGAGACTTTATTGGCTTGATAATCTCTTGGAAAGGAAAATGTAGACATAATAACCATCTCATTAGTTGCTTTGGTGTCCTTTTACCAAACTTGTGTGTGTGGAGGCAAATGGTTTTTGGGACTTGACGAGCTGTTAGAGTGTGAGCAAGATAACACTTTGTGAAGGGATTCAGGGGAAACCAGTTTGCTGGACTTGAGCCCTGCAAGTGGGAAGTGCAGTGCATGCACTCTGAAGGAGGGGGTGGTAGTATTTGCAGTTTGGTGGGGCACTTGAATTGTATCTGCATGCCTCTGGCAAGACAGTGATAGTGAATGATGGTGAAAGTGTTTCTTTTTCAGGTCGCACTACCTCAGTAGGAGATGGCCAGTGTGTTAAAAAAAAAAAAGCACCATTTCCATCTTGTTTTGGTGCACTTAAATTTTTTAGTTATTTGATGACAAGTGTCATCCTACCGATATTACCCCATTCCACAAAGGCAGCAGTTGTAAAAAAAACCTAGAGACCAGTAGCAGTAACATCACATAACAAAATCTTCAAATGGGTTCAAAGAAGCAAGATGGCCAATCATGTGGAATCACAACAATTGCACAACTCACAGCTCAGGGCATCACGAGTAGAGCAGGTGCTCATTACTTTCACAATTGTTAGACAATTACAATATGGTCCTGGATGAATTGGAAGACAGGCTAAATGCAAATGCAGTGTATGCTTATTTTGCAAAAGCTTATTTCTTCTTGAAAACTGTTCCCCTTTCTCCTACATAACACTAAATTGAACCTCACTTACCATATAAACTCTACTGCTTTATTAACATACATATTCCATACATTTGCAACATCTGCCGCATTTCTTCCTTGTCGACCCTATAATATGCCATTTTTAAATCCATGAATGCCAGTTTCCTAACCTTACCTGAGTATTGTTCACTTGTATGCTGCATTGTCAACATTTGACCCTTTTGCCTTATACAAAGTAATTATGCACTCTCTTTGCCAGTCCTTAGGTACATTTCCTATTTTTCATTCCTGTATTTAACAATACACAAACTACAGTACCAAATTAAAATTGCCTATCTGTCAACTACTACAAAACTATATCCCTACCTCCTTTAACTTCTCAGTAGTAATCTTGCTTATCCCAATTGCTTTACCCCCTTTCTACCCATGGAAATGTCATTTTGGAAAGCTATATTGTGACTTCCTTTTCATTACTTACAATTTGTCTCAGAATACATTATAAAATAAATTTCTGAATGTTATGTTTCTTTCAGGTAATTGAGCTACCTCTGCTTAACCCAGAACTCTTCCATAGAGTAGGAATCAATCCACCCAAGGGATGCTTGCTCTATGGACCTCCAGGTACAGGGAAGACACTCTTAGCACGAGCTGTTGCCTCGCAGCTTGATTGCAACTTTCTAAAGGTTTGTCATAACATGCATGTATATTTGTATGCTCAAAGACTTTTGTAAGGATTACTGATTCTACTGAATATAATACTGTATTAATTTGCATTAATAATTGAATACAGTGAACTTCTCTAGCTTGTTTTATAGAGATGAGGATTTGTTACTGTTAATATTACATTGGTTTGATAGGCCATTTGTTTGTGATTTTAAAAAATTATAACACTAGTTTGACGTTTTCTTGTTTTTAGCCCATGAATTATTTGTATACTTGGTGGTTTTAAGAGAAAAATAGTTTAATAGAGTGGAACCTCTGCTTGCGAGCGTGTCCACGTGCGAGTTTTTCCAAATATGAGCAGTCGATGGGTCGATTTTTTTCTTCCATACGCGAGCAAAATTTCCACAAGCGAGCAGACCTCAAGGCAGGTTCCTTGACACTGGTGAGGGGCTCTTGCTCTTGATTTCAGGAATTGTATCTCATTTGTTTGTTGGGCTATCTTATTGAAACTTGGGCAATGTATGATGGAAAGATGCTTCTTAACATACACCAAAAATGAAAGAAATCTAAGCATAAATACAGTGGACCCTCAACCAGCGATATTAATCCGTTCCTGAGAGCTCATCGTTAGTCAAAATAATCGTTAGTGAAGTTAATTTTCCCCATAAGAAATAATGGAAATCAAATTAATCCGTGCAAGACACCCAAAAGTATTGAAAAAAAAAAATTTTACCACATGAAATATTAATTTTAATACACACAAACTGAAGATTACATGCACAGTTACATGACACTTACCTTTATTGAAGATCTGGTGATGATTGATGGGATGGGAGAAGGGGAGAGCGTTATCTTCTTACTGTTTAGAAGGGGAATCCCCTTCCATTAGCACTTGAGGCAGCAAGTCTTTTTCTGGGGTTACTTCCCTTGTTCTTTTAATGCCACTAGGACCAGCTTGAGAGTCACTGGACTTCTGTCGCACAACATATCTGTCCATAGAGGCCTGTACCTCTCGTTCCTTTATGACTTTCCTAAAGTGGTTCACAACATTGTCAGTGTACAGGTTGCCAACACGGCTTGCAGTAGCTGTGTCAGGGTGATTATCATCCATAAAGCTTTGCACTTTAAGCCACATTGCACAGATTTCCTTAATCTTAGAAGTAGGCAACTTCTTCAATTTCTCTCTCCCCTCCCCCAAAGCAGTTTCCTCAGGTCTGTCCTCTTGCTGTTCAAGATGATCTAGCAGCTCATCAGTGGTTAGTTCTTCACTGTCCTCCACCACCAACTCTTCCACATCCTCCCCACTAACCTCCAACCCCAAGGACTTCCCCAATGCCACAATGGATTCCTCAACTGGCATAGGATTCTCAGGGTTAGCCTCAAACCCTTCAAAATCCCTTTTGTCTACACATTCTGGCCACAGTTTTTTCCAAGCAGAGTTCAATGTCCTCTTAGTCACTTCCTCCCAAGCCTTACCTATAATGTTTACACAATTGAGGATGGTAAAATGATCTTTCCAAAACTCTCTTAGAGTCAGTTGAGTTTCTGAGGTCACTACAAAGCACCTTTCAAACATAGCTTTTGTGTACAGTTTCTTGAAGTTGGAAATAACCTGCTGGTCCATGGGCTGCAGGAGAGGAGTGGTATTAGGAGGCAAAAACTTCACCTTAATGAAGCTCATGTCCCTAGAAAGTCGCTCTGCCACATCTGTAGGATGACCAGGGGCATTGTCTAATACCAGGAGGCACTTAAGGTCTAATTTCTTTTCAATTAGGTAATTTTTCACATCGGGGGCAAATTCATGGTGTAACCAGTCATAGAAAAAGTCCCTAGTGACCCATGCCTTATTGTTTGCCCTCCACAGCACACACAAATTAGCCTTGAGGACATTGTTTTTCCTGAACACTCTGGGGGTTTCAGAGTGATACACCAATAAAGGCTTCACTTTGCAATCACCACTAGCATTGGCACACATCAACAAAGTAAGCCTGTCTTTCATAGGCTTATGTCCTGGGAGTGCCTTTTCCTCCTGAGTAATGTACGTCCTGCTTGACATTTTCTTCCAAAACAGGCCTGTTTCATCACAATTAAACACTTGTTCAGGTTTCAGTCCTTCACCCTTCACTGTCTATGTACTCCTTGAAGTCCTGCACATATTTTTCAGCCGATTTGTGGTCCGAACTGGCAGCCTCACCATGCCTTATCACACTATGAATGCCACTACGCTTCTTAAATCTCTCAAACCAACCTTTGCTGGCCTTAAATTCACTCACATCACTAGTTGCTGGCATTTTTTTAATTAAATCGTCATGCAACTTCCTAGCCTTTTCACATATGATCGCTTGAGAGATGCTGTCTCCTGCTATCTGTTTCTCGTTTATCCACACCAATAACAGTCTCTCAACATCTTCGAGTACTTGCAATCTCAGTTTCGAAAACATAGTTGCACCTTTGGCAAGAACAGCTTCCTTGATTGCCGTTTTCTTGCCCACAATAGTAGCGATGGTTGATTGGGGTTTATTATATAACCTGACCAGCTCAGAGATACGCACTCCACTTTCATATTTATCAATGATCTCTTTCTTCATCTCCATAGTAATTCTCACCCTTTTTGTTGTAGGGTTGGCACTAGAAGCTTTCTTGGGGCCCATGGTGATTTATTTTGCAGGTGCAATCACTAAAAAGGCTGTGATAATATGAAATGTTCCAGTTGTATGTTTGGAAGCGACCGCGGTGGCTGGCTGGCTTGTAAACACTGGCACCAAAGGGACAAGTGAGGCGCGCTCAGGCCAAAGTGGATGCGTATGGTACGGAACGAATAGCGCTGGTCGGGTTTTTAAGCGCTAGTCGAGGCAAAATTTTTGCGTTTAAATGAATCGCTAGTCAGATTTATCGTTAATCAATGCCATCGCTGGTTGAGGGTCCACTGTAATGGAGTTCACTTTTCAGCAATTAGCCACTCCTTAGCGATAATTTCGAATGGTTTTTATGATTGTATTCTCGTTTGTTTGGTCTCATGATAGAATGGAAGATATATTACAGAAATAGATATGATCTTAATTGCTTTCACGACGAAAAGTACCTTGAAATAGAGCTCAACCTAGGAGAAATGGTCCATTGCTTGGCTGTTTCAGAGTAAACAAATGAAGTCACTGTCCATTCCAATGTGCAGTCGTGAATGGGTTGACATTTATACAATTATTACAATAAGGAATAACAGTAAAGCTTATATTTGTGTGAATAAAAATTACAAATTATTTATATAATAATAATAATATGTATAATAATAATATATAATAATAGTATAATAATATAAGACAATAATAATAATATAATATGTATAATAATACATATATAATAATAATGTGCTACATATAACAATTATAATAGACGGCTTCAAAAGGCCGTCGCTAGATGGCAGTGTTTACCACAACAAAGAGGGAGCGGTTGTGGCCGCCTCCACCTGTTACATAATGATATGTTTTATTCATTCTAGAGTATATATCATGTTTCTATGTTATTTATATTGTTTGTTATGTCATATTAGATGAACTGTGATAGATAAATAAGCTGTATAGATGATATTAGCTAAATTATTCATGAAGTATTTTGCCCGGTCTCCGGACAAACTCGTCCACCGCTGACACCGCCCATACCACCACATGAATGATATATTTTATTCATTTTAGAGTATATATCAGGTTTGTATGTTATTTATATTGTTTATTATGTCATATTAGATGAAGTGAGATAGATAAATAAGCCTTAGAGTTGATATTAGCGAAATTATTGAAGTACAGAATTCCACTGGAACGGATTAATTGCATTTCAGTTAATTTAAATGAGGAAAATTGACTCTGCAAACTAGCAAATCCAGTTGCGAGCAAGGTCATGGAACAGATTAAACTCGCAAGTAGAGGTTCCACTGTATATAGATTTTATGTGCAGTGTTTTCTATCATATTAGAACCATAATAAACTCACCACACATGCATAAAAAAAGACCTCAGTGCATTAGATAAGGAAATACTGTAATAATTATTCACCCCCACCCCTTTTCTTTTTATCGCAAAAACCATATCCTACTAAGGCAGGGTGACCCAAAGGGAAAATTCATTAACCATTATTCATTCAATTGCTGTCTTTTCAGAATTGTGTTGACATCACAATTATTAGATTATCCTTCCCAACAACTGCAATATCCCCACCCCTCCAGGATTTGAGTTTGACTTAGCAATTTTTCTGAATCCCATCATGAGTTACCTTGCTCATACTCCAAGAGCACATCCATTAAAAGACCACTTGCCACCATTTGCAATTATCTGACATACTCTCAAATGCCTGCTGGATGCTCATTCTTCTAAAACTCAAAACCACCTTTACCCCCTCCCTCCTACCTTCCACCTCAGATTTGTGTACCCTCTTTTATCATTCACTTTCTACAACCACATCTATAAATTTATTAAACAACCATGGTGACATCATATATCCCTCTTGAAGTCCTACTTTCACTAATAGTCCCCCTTCCTTCTACATATCCCAACCTTAGCTACACTTTCTGCATAAAACAAACTACTGCTCTTAGTAGCCTACCTCCTATTCCATACATTTGCAACATCTGCCATGTGGCTCCCATATCCACCTTGTATTAAGGAAACCATGTAGTGATGTGTATGTTGAGCAAGAATGTTAGATTTGATTAAGGCATTATGTATGAGCACAGCTGTGTATTAGAGAGGCAGCCTCCCAGGCATAATGTATGGCTATGAGCATTGTTGCAACTTGTGCTGATGATCAGAAATTAGTACTAGTGCTTTAAAAGATCTTGCATAGATAGTGAGGGCATTAGCATTGGCCACATCTCTCTGTAACTGGCTGAGCTGGGACACATTTCAAAGTAATGGGGAAAGTTTGAGAGGACAGTCAATGAACACAGTAGCCAAGCCAACATAGGGGCAAACACAATGATGAACATTATCTGGGAACAAACTAGGTTGAGATGAAGCAACAGTACATAGGATTTATCCAGGGAGAAACAGTCAAAAATCCACAACTGGAAATGAAAAACTAGACTAAGTTTATCAGTCCTGCACCATCATGACAAGTATTATCAGAATAATTAATTTAAAAAATGCAGAGTATTAAGGTCTGATATTTAAACTTCTAAATTTTACTTTTACACTGTCACTGTCTAATTTTCCTTTTCAGGTTGTATCAAGTGCTATTGTAGATAAGTACATTGGAGAATCAGCTCGGCTTATTCGTGAGATGTTCAATTATGCTCGTGACCACCAGCCATGTATAATCTTTATGGACGAGATTGATGCTATTGGTGGAAGGAGGTTTTCTGAAGGAACGTCAGCTGACCGAGAGATTCAACGTACACTCATGGAGTTGCTCAATCAAATGGATGGCTTCGATTCTCTGGGTCAAGTTAGTTCTTGGTGTTGTGTGATTTTTTTTCTTTTAAGCTTTTGGTTGGATTTTTTGTTTATTAATTTTGATTGTTACAGCCTTGGCATATTTTCAGTAGAGCTTTGTCAGATTGTGTAATGTCTTATCATTTTACTTTTGGCACTTATTTCGTAGATCTTAAATATAATTATTTCCTGTCTTCAGGTAAAAATGATTATGGCCACCAATCGTCCAGACACACTGGATCCTGCCTTACTGCGTCCTGGACGTCTTGATAGAAAAATTGAAATTGCCCTTCCCAATGAACAAGCTAGATTGGAAATTCTCAAAATTCATTCTGGACCAATCACCAAGCGAGGAGAAATTGGTAGGTACTACTATTACTATGCTGAGCACTGTATTACCCTTCTGGGTTTAGTGCTTAGTTTTGATTGTAATATAATACTATTCTGTAAACTTTGTGTATGCATGTGTCTTATGCAATATTTCGTGTATTAAATACTTACATTCTCTTCTCAGATTATGAAGCAGTGGTGAAACTCTCTGATGGCTTTAATGGTGCTGATCTTCGTAACGTATGTACTGAAGCAGGTCTCTTTGCCATCCGGAATGAGCGTGATTATGTCATAGAAGAAGATTTTATGAAAGCTGTGCGTAAGGTTTCAGATAATAAGAAATTAGAAACTAAGCTAGATTACAAACCAATTTAAATGAATTAATGGTATTTATAGTAGGTGATGCAGGTATTTGAATGATTGTTTTTAAATACAGTATTCAGTTTTCTTTATATGAACCTGTAATACCAGCTATATTTACTTTCCAGATTTATTTTTTTAGTGAGGAGACTACTTAACAATTTGAGCATCATGTTTTGCATTTCAATGGGTGTAAAATTCAGTATCCAAAAAATGCATTTGCTATCTAACTAGTGTTTCTTCTCAAGTATATTCTCGGTCCTTTAAATGTAGGCTCAAAAGGTATTGCTTAAAATTAAAGAAAGTTTTGTAAAATATATTTTATTACTCCTTGTCTACAGATTTGTTTAAATGATGGTGCATTGCTACATTCAGTGACTGGTCTTTGGAAAAATGAAGGGCAAAGTAAATTATGGTAAGAAAAATAAAATATGGTGCTGTATATACAATAACTCATTTTACATATTTTCATATTTCAATTTATATAACCTGTTAATGGATGAAAGGGTAAGTGCATGCATTCACATGTTTATTGGACACATTTTGGTCCTGTTACCTTTGTTGCTTGAATGAGGAAACACAGTTCTGCAAACATAGAGAATGCAAGTCACTGGTGATTGTCAGGCAAAGGCGAGAGGTCACCCAATTGCTGTCATGTGGCAGCCAAGAATCGTGTAGCAGTAACAATGTACTAGGGTTGAGAGGATATCTTTGTTCTGTGGTGGTTGGAAGTAGCAATTAAGGAGGCTTCAATACAGTGACGTCTGTTCCTGCCATATTCTTTGATTCATCAATCTACAGACCAAGACAAGTATAGACACCACTGTGCTGAAGCCTCCTTGATTGTTACTTCCAACCACCACCACAACAAAGGGTTGACAAATACATCTCAACTTAGGCACACAATACTGCTACAGGCTGCTGCCTTGTGACAGCAATTAGGTGACTTCACACCATCTGACAATCACCAGTGACCTGCATTCTCATTCATTTGGAGTTACCAAGGTCCCAGGACTAGATTGGATTGTATCCAATAAAGATGTTTTTGTGCATACACTTATCCCTTCATTCATATTGTTAGTATAAACCCATAGGGGTTAGAGAGAGGTGGAATGGGAGGCAATTGGGTTCAATCCAAGAAAGGGGAAGGTACATCCAATTCCTTGGATCAAGAGCCCCTCACCAGCATCAAGGAACCTCCCTTGAGAGGTGGTATCACTATCTAGTTGAATAAATAGTGGGTTCATTTTATTTGCTATACTGCTTAGTGTGAGGTAAGGCTCCTACTTTTCACATTTATATAATCTTCCCTTTCTTCATCAATATTACTTCCTTGTAGATTTATGAAACTGTTAGTCTGTGCCTCCTTTAAGCAACTTTCATTGCTTATATTATCAGTCTGAACTGTATTCCTAGATCCTTCAGATTCATTTAGTGTCTCATGCCTTTGTAAAATATTTTTTACATTGTTGCAGCATCCATTTTAATGACTTTCACTTTACCTTCTGTCAGTCGATAACCTAGACCTTGGCCCCTCTTGTCTCGTGGGAAGCGAGATTTCATAAAGGCCCTTTCCTCCTTTGTCATTAGAGAGGCTTGGAAGAATTTCTCTCGAAATTTTGCTGTCAGGTCTGTGACTTGAGCAATGGCTGTTTCTCCTTTCTGTAATATAGTAAAACATTTTTTATTACATTCATGGAGGGGAGAGTGAAGCATTGATAAGGGTAATCCAGTGCCTCAGGTAAAAGGCAATCAGATTTGAATTCAACGTGAGGACAAATTATTATTTATTTTTTTTATTATCACACTGGCCGATTCCCACCAAGGCAGGGTGGCCCAAAAAAGAAAAACTTTCACCATCATTCACTCCATCACTGTCTTGCCAGAAGGGTGCTTTACACTACAGTTTTTAAACTGCAACATTAACACCCCTCCTTCAGAGTGCAGGCACTGTACTTCCCATCTCCAAGTCCGGCAAATATAATTCCTTAAATCAAGAGCCCCTCACCAGCATCAAGGAGCTTCCCTTGTGGGGAATATATTAAGTGTAAAAAAGAACTCTAGAATTTCAGCCTGCAATGGTCTACTAGGTAAAATTATTCTAATGGGCCCCCTCAAGTGCTGGTGAAGGTATCTTGATTCATGATTTGGAGCTATTGTACTCCCCTCAGATCAAACCTGGTTACCTCCCCATTCCCCAGTAGTTCTACGAACCTTGCAGCGCTGTTTGATCCTTACAGATTTAGGGATTCGTAGATATATATTTAATGTGGTAGTGATAATGTAAGTGACAAGCAAATGTTAAGTGAACACTATTATTACTATGGTAGTGTAGTACACTATAACCCATATTGGTTTAGTGCTTAATTTTTAATATATTGTAATACTACATTCACTGAGTCATGGAGGTGGGAAATACAATGCCTGTGGTTAAAGGAGGGGTCTGGGATATTGGCTGTTTAGAGTGACATCTCACCTGTTGTATCTGAATGCCTGTGCAAAGACAGTGATTATATGTAAATGATGGTGAAAGTGTTTCTTTTTTGGGTCACCCTGCCTCGATGGGAGACTGCTGACGTGTTGAGAAAAAAAAAAATTGTGAGACGTAATTAATAAACCGATTTTTTTAACACACTGGTCATCTCCCATGAAGATGGGCGACTTGAAAAAGAAGAAACACTTTCACTAACAACCACTCCATAACCATCTTGCCAGAGGTGTACTGACATTACAGCTCAGATGCCCTTTACAAGCTGCAATATCCCACCCTTTGTTCAGAATGCAGGCGGTGTACTTACCATCTCCAGGACTCTTACGTCCAGCTAACCAGTTACCCTGAATCCCTTCATAACTGTTACCTTGCTCACACGCCAACAGCACGTCAAGTAATAAAAACCACTTGCCTCCACTCACTCCTATCTAACACACACATATATGCATGTTGGATGTGCTAGCCCCTACCCCCAAACAAATCTATCATGTCAAGTGATTATGGCCAAATAGAAAAAATAAGCTATAGCTTATACTTTCGAGATTTTTTGAAGTTTGCAATATTGCTTACGAACATGTACACTTTAGACATACTGATAAAGAAAATAGAGTAAAAATTATGAGATGCAAATAACTTTAGCATATTAATGGAGTCTTTTACCTTACCTATCCAAACCTTCAATAAAAACTTCATATACAGGATATTTTTTTTTTTTACACTACTAGGAAGTAAATGATCAGACAAATAAACTACCATGTCAATTGACAAATAACAATTTTTGGAGGAAAAAACTTTGAAAGAGCAAAAACTGAGCTAAAGGCTTACTGTACTTGGAATAGTGCATGATTTTTCAATTAATATTTTGACTTAACCCCTTCATTATCACGACCCCTGATTTGATATATCCAAAGCGTCTAAGAATTGAAAAAAAAAAATTTTTTTTCTTACGAAATGGTAGAGAATCTTTTCCTGAAGGTAATAAAATAAAAAGTACAAAATTTGATGGAAAACTGACGAAATTACACTTAATGCGAATTTTGCTGTCAGCAATCTTTTGCATCGGCGATTTTGCCCACTTTGTGTCCTACTTTAGGTCAGTTACATTGTTCCAGTAAACCAAATTCTTAGGTATTTCACTACTATGTCTTCTACTTTATCGACTGAGCACAAGAACCCATCCAATCAACTATTTCAACTACCCAATAAAGTGATCAGAAATGGGTAATTTGGCCAATTTCATACAAATTTCAAAATATTCCAATTTCAAGTTAGGGTCCTGAATAAACAATGTAGGCATTCCTGGCACTAAAATAACATTTCCTCTGTTCATTAGTTACATTCCCAGGCTTCACATATGAATTCCATTTTGATTTTATATTCACACACAAAAAAACAGAAGATTTACTGTTATGCAATATTGTAATAACTGTATAAATAATATCAGTGCATTCATAAATGTATATTAGACCCACCAGTTGGACATGTATTAGATGAGTGACCTGATTTGTTTACTCCTAAATATTGGCAAAAATCAAACATTTCCACTACTTTGAGCTCAATTTCAAGCTATTTTCAGTCCTGAAATTAATCAAAATCATCTCTATTTCTGTAGTATATCTTCCATTTTATCAATTGAGACCAAGACACTGAGAATGCAATCATAAATACACTGCCAAGTCATTGTTTTATACCAAAACACTGTTGCAGTTTTTTCTCATGCACTGTGTGCTACAGGAATTTTTTTATATGGTGCACACTTACTGCATAGACCCAATACCTAGGCCCAAATTTACCACTCACAGTTTACCTGAGTGAGCTGAGCTCCTGGTGTAGTACTACGGCACTGACAATGAAAGGTTTAAGAGAAAATTAATCTAGCTCTAGAATAAAAAATGAGGTTTACCTGAGGGTGTCTTGTCTTGTAGAGGGTAATAAGGCGTCTGCTGGAGTGTACAGTAAGAACTTGTTCACTGTTGAAGAGAAGCTCCAAGCACGGGTGGCTTGGTATTAAGCTCTCATGGTAGTCTTCTCTTCATAGGAAGATAAAAGCTTTAATACACTAACTATTGTTTTATGAGTGTATGACTGTTTAGTTAATTGACAAATATAATATTCCAGCAAAGGCACACAAAGCTAATATGGCAACACAGTACCTAAAAATTTTATATAAATGAAATAAGCAATGACATCTACAATATATTTTGTCAAAAACTTAATTGTTTTAACCCTTTCAGGGTCCAAGGCCCAAATCTGGAGTCACGCACCAGTGTCCAAGAATTTTCAAAAAAAAAATTTGTTATTTTTTCTTATGAAATCGTAGAGAATCTTTTTGTGAAGGTAATAAAACAAAAAGTACGAAATTTGGTGGAAAATTGACGAAATTATGCTCTTGCGAATTTTGATGTGTCAGCGATATTTACGAATCGGCAATTTTGCCGACTTTGACTCCCATTTTAGGCCAATTACGTTATTCCAATCAACCAAATTCTTAGCTATTTCACTAGTATTACTTCTATTGTATCGATTGAGCACAAGAAATCGCCAAGTCAACTGTTTCAACTACAAAATAAAGTGATCGGAAATTGTTAATTTGGCCAATTTAACACAAAGTTCAAAATATTCCAATTTCAAAATAGGGTCCAGAATGAACAATGTAGGCATTCCTGGCACTAAACTAACATTTCCTCTGTTCATTAGTTATGTTTTGAGGCTTTACAAATAAATTCCATTTTGATTTTTTATTCACATAATGAATTTTTATTCACACCAAAAAATAGAAGATTTACTGTTATGCAATACTGTAATAATTGTATAATTATCATCACCATATTTGTGAATGTATATTAGACCCACCAGCTGACGTGTATTAGACGTGTGAGGTCGTTTGTTTACTCTTGAATATCGGCAAAAATTTAACATTTCCGCTACTTTGAGCTCAGTTTCAAGCCATTTCCAATGCTAAAACCAATCAAAATCATCTCTATTTCTGTAATATGTCTTCCATTCTATCAAATGAGACCAAGAAATCGCAAATACAACTATAAAAAACATACGAAAAAACACTGCAAAGTTGCTGTTTTAATCGAAAAATCATGATTTCATTTTTTTTCTCTCATTATACACAGTGTGCCGCAGGATCTGTTTTATGTGGTGCACACATACCACATAGATGTATTCTCTCATATCTAGGCCCAAATGTACCACTCACAGTTTATCAGAGTGAGCTGAGCTCATGGCGTAGATCTACGGTTTGGACCCTGAACATAAAGCCGTAGATCTACGGGACGGACCCTGAAAGGGTTAAATAAACTAAGAAATTAAAAAAAAAAAAAAGCTATTATTCTCATTACATAGTGCCAATTTCAGGAATCTAACCCTCACATTATGTGAAGTTTTACTATACCATTTATACAATAGACCCATGAATGATACAATAGTTACAGTCCTGCAAATGGTGTTTTTAAAAAAATAAATAAATAAATAAACTAAGTACTAAAAATATACTTGATCTAATAAATTTTGTTTATTTCCATGATCTCTAAGATGGTTTTTCATGTTTTATTCCTTGGGAAGCACTAAACCTCTAAAGATCATACAGCACCTAGGGAATGGGAGGCATTCAGGTGTGATCCAAGGAAGGGAAGGTCTAAACTGGATTATCTGGGAATTTTTCAAAGTTTACAGGACAGGCAGACATGTATGTCCCTTCAAGAGGGGTGCCTTGACGATGGCAAAGACTTAATCCAAGGAAGTGCAGCTACCCTCTTCTTGGATTAAACCTGATTATCACCTACCCCTCTCATACCCCTGGTGTTTGTGATCCCTTATGCTTAGCACTTCCCAGTGAGTATAATAATAATACAAGGCAGGTGTTTGGATAAATAGTCATGTGGATAAGAAAATCATTTTGCATGGGAATTTAGTGAACTGGATAAATAAAAGTTCACTATATTTTTTTTGTCAGAACATATTCTTTGGTAATTGTAAACCATCCATTTTATTAAATAAATATTGTACTGTGTATATCAATGAGGAAAACAAGAATTTTTGGTGTTGGCATATTCGTGCACACAAGTAACAGTGAAATATTACTAAATACACACGTTAATATTACAAGTCACTTGCATGATACTAACCTTATTACTGGAAGCCAAAAAACTAGTCTACCACCAATTACCAGGTGAGTAGCAGCAAAGTTGATCAAGTCACGAAAAACATCTGATAGGCTGTAAGTGATCTTCGAGGGAAAATGTGGGGCGGATGTCTGTTGTATGGTCCCTTCTTCATTTGATTTTGGCTCTCTGAGGGTTCCCACTCGTTCTGTTGATTCTCGAATTCCATATGGGGCTGAACAAAAATGGGAAATACATTACATTACATTACTTTCAGATATAGTATTTAAGATTAATGAGTGGTGTGAATATTATGCACAGAATAAGAAATAGTTTTGGAGTAGTTAGTGCAATTATTTAATAAATGTATGGAAGAGGGTAAGGTACCTAGGGATTGGCAGAGAGCATGCATAGTTCCTTTGTATAAAGACAAAGGGGACAAAAGAGAGTGCAAAAATTATAGGGGGATAAGTCTGTTGAGTATACTTGGTAAAGTGTATGGTAGAGTTATTATTGAAAGAATTAAGAGTAAGACGGAGAATAGGATAGCAGATGAACAAGGAGGCTTTAGGAAAGGTAGGGGGTGTGTGGACCAGATGTTTACAGTGAAACATATAAGTTTAACAGTATTTAGATAAGGCTAAAGAGGTCTTTGTGGCATTTATGGATTTGGAAAAGGCATATGACAGGGTGGATAGGGGGGCAATGTGGCAGATGTTGCAGGTGTATGGTGTAGGAGGTAGGTTACTGAAAGCAGTGAAGAGTTTTTACGAGGATAGTGAGGCTCAAGTTAGAGTATGTAGGAAAGAGGGAAATTATTTCCCAGTAAAAGTAGGCCTTAGACAAGGATGTGTGATGTCACCGTGGTTGTTCAAATATTTATAGATGGGGTTGTAAGAGAAGTAAATGCGAAGGGGCTTGGCAAGAGGCGTGGAGTTAAAAGATAAAGAATCACACATACAGTGGGAGTTGTCACAGTTGCTCTTTGCTGCTGACACTGTGCTCTTGAGAGATTCTGAAGAGAAGTTGCAGAGATTGGTGGATGAATTTGGTAGGGTGTGCAAAAGAAGAAAATTAAAGTGAATACAGGAAAGAGTAAGGTTATGAGGATAACAAAAAGATTAGGTGATGAAAGATTGGATATCAGATTGGAGGGAGAGAGTATGGAGGAGGTGAATGTATTCAGATATTTGCGAGTGGACGTGTCAGCGGATGGGTCTATGAAAGATGAGGTGAATCATAGAACTGATGAGGGGAAAAGGGTGAGTGGTGCACTTAGGAGTCTGTGGAGACAAAGAACTTTGTCCTTGGAGGCAAAGAGGGGAATGTATGAGAGTATAGTTTTACCAACGCTCTTATTTTGGGTGTGAAGCATGGGTGATGAATGTTGCAGCGAGGAGAAGGCTGGAGGCAGTGGAGATGTCATGTCTGAGGGCAATGTGTGGTGTGAATATAATGCAGAGAATTCGTAGTTTGGAAGTTAGGAGGAGGTGCGGGATTACCAAAACTGTTGTCCAGAGGGCTGAGGAAGGGTTGTTGAGGTGGTTCGGACATGTAGAGCGAATGGAGCGAAACGAATGACTTCAAGAGTGTATCAGTCTGTAGTGGAAGGAAGGCGGGGTAGGGGTCAGCCTAGGAAAGGTTGGAGGGAGGGGGTAAAGGAGGTTTTGTGTGCGAGGGGCTTGGACTTCCAGCAGGCATGCGTGAGCGTGTTTGATAGGAGTGAATGGAGACAAATGGTTTTTAATACTTGACGTGCTGTTGGAGTGTGAGCAAAGTAACATTTATGAAGGGGTTCAGGGAAACCGGCAGGCCGGACTTGAGTCCTGGAGATGGGAAGTACAGTGCCTGCACTCTGAAGGAGGGGTGTTAATGTTGCAGTTTAAAAACTGTAGTGTAAAGCACCCTTCTGGCAAGACAGTGATGGAGTGAATGATGGTGAAAGTTTTTCTTTTTCAGGCCACCCTGCCTTGGTGGGAATCGGCCAGTGTGAAAAAAAAAAAATAAGAAATACAAAAATGTAGTGGTACAAAAGGTATAACTTAAAGGATGGTGTAGTGGCTGAGTTGGTTTGGTCATTTAGAAATGAAAAAGAATGATAATTTGACCAAGAGTTAATGGTTGCTGGTTGTATAAATCTGGGGTAGATAGATGTAAGGAACGTATCAGAAAGAGTTCGCTAGAGAGAGGTGAAGCAGGTTGATGTTTAGTGGCTTGGACATCTAGCTGACACGAATGAGAATGGCTGATAAGGGCCACATCAACTATATCTACACACTTCTGTAGCAACAAGGAGCAAGGAATGGAAGGTAAGATCAAATTTTCTTGCCACTTTTTACCGTTTCAAACAAGAATGTTGTGCAATAAGCTACTGTATGGCTCTGTAGGATACTGGTGGTTTTGAGGGTCATACATATTCACACTTTCCACTTTCTGTGGAAGGAATATGCTGGTTGGTGAAACCTCTTCAAAATAAAGATATCCAGGTGTTGCACAGGAATTTAATTTATCAACCAACTTCCTCTAGGCCTTAGAAATGAAAATATGATGAACACTGCCTTAATTTTCTCACATTTTTTTTCACTCTATAACTCACAGAAATCAATGGCAGAGCAATTTTCAGGAATGTAACCTGCATGAAATATAAATGTCTACCATATTTGGACAAGAGTGATTTATCCCATCCAAATAATGATTTGTATTAGATTTTACATTAATCAGGTCAATGTTTATGAGGAACAAGCTCTGCAAAGACTCTTCATTGAAAGAAGTGAAGCTACCTTTTCCCTTCCATGGATCAAGCCTGAGTACTTTCTAGTACCCAGGTGCTGTAGGATCCCTATGGGTTTAGCACTTCCCAATGAATATACATATAATAATATATGAAGAACAAGTGGAGCTAGTCTGTCAGAAGGAAGGTTAATAAGTGTGTATAAGAGTACAATATGTATAGACAAACAAAAGAGAAAATTAAAAAGGGGAGCAAATATTTGAAGGATAGCAAATTTTTTAGATATTACAAATACAGTAGCTGTCAAAAGCATGTGAGCTTTAGTTAAACATGATAGCAATAAACAACACACTTACGGTCAGTAATAATGGCATCGACATAGGGAATACCTCTCCAGAATGGTCTTGCATTATCCATTACCACGACATCCATGTATCGGTGCTCTAGTCCATACTGTTTCAGGTTGCTTGATATAGATTCCCCTGCCGTACGTTGCTTCTGTTAAGGCAGACAATTGTCTTCACTATTTATACCTTAACCCCTCTTAAATAATACACAGTACAGTACCCGTATATTATTCTTCTTTCAACAAATCAGCTGTATCCCACTGAGGCAGGGTGGTCCAAAAAGAAAAACAAAAGTTTCTCTTAAACTTTAGTAATGTATACAGGAGAAGGGGGTTACTAACCCCTTGCTCCTGGTATTTTAGTCACCTCTTACGATATGCATGCCTTACGGAGGAAGAATTCTGTTCTACTTCCCCATGGAGAATATATTGGCAGTTTGGAGGGATATGTTGTGTATCTTTATACGTATATGCTTCTGAACTGTTGTATTCTGAGCACCTCTGCAAAAGCAGTGATAATGTGTGAGTGTGGTGAAAGTGTTGAATGATGATGAAAGTATTTTCTTTTTGGGGATTTTCTTTCTTTTTTGGGTCACCCTGCCTCGGTGGGAGATGGCCGACTTGTTGAAAAAAAAAAAAAAATACGTATATATGCATGCATGCTTGTACATGCATGTGTAGTGTGACCTAAGTGTAAGAAGAATTAGCAAGACATATCTGAAACCTTGAATGTTTATGAGACAGAAAAAAGACACCAGGAAAGTAAATTATAAAGTTTGTATTTTTTTTTTAAAGTAAAATAAGGTGTAGTAATGGAAAAACAAAACTATTATTGTAGTAGCTAAAGAATTGGGCATGTCAAAAGTGTTTTGTTTGTCATTGTTGGATAGATGGGATAGGCTAGCTGGCTCCTACTTTTGTGGTGGTGGTGCCAGCATGGTAAGACCTCCTCCAAGAGGTAAGGTTTGTAATTGAATATGATATAACCATTATACCCAGGGTGACTACAGTGTGTCAAAACACTGGGTTAAGATCATCAGAAAGAATGGAGTACTAATTGTTTCAGATGGACCATGTGACTGGACTGGCTGAGCAGCTAAGGGTGTGTATCCTTTTGTTACAAATAGGAAAATGTTTAACTTGTATATTCTGTATATCCCTGTCTAGAATATATCCCTATTTTTGTAACAGCAGTTTAAATAACCTGTTGAGAGGGTTGGTGAAAAGATTTCAGAGACTGAGGACAACCAATCATGAATGTAAGTATTCCCCTAAACTTTACAAGGCATTATTTAAGCTACCCCACACTAGAACATGTAGTGAGAACCATACCATCAAAGTAAAAATTATGTCATTTAAATATTCTGAAAAGCTTTTTCCATATTAATATTTTTTTTTTCATCAAACCGGCCGTATCCCACTGAGGCAGGGTGGCCCAAAAAGAAAAACAAAAGTTTCTCTTTTTAAACTTAGTAATTTATACAGGAGAAGGGGTTACTAGCCCCTTGCTCCCGGCATTTTAGCCGCTTCTTACAACACGCATGGCTTACAGAGGAAGAATTCTGTTCCACTTCCCCATGGAGGTAAGGGGAAATAAACAAGAACAAGAACTAGAAAGAAAATAGCAGAAAACCCAGAGGGGTGTGTATATATATGCTTGTACATGTATGTGTAGTGTGACCTAAGTGTAAGTAGAAGTAGCAAGACGTACCTGAAATCTTGCATGTTTATGAGACAGAGAAAAGGACACCAGCAATCCTACCATTATGTAAAACAATTACAGGCTTTCGTTTTACACACTTGGCAGGACGGTAGTACCTCCCTGGGCGGTTGCTGTCTACCAACCTACTACCTATGATATTAATAATATCACCATTATATTTACTGGAAATTACTAAACCTGAAGAGGTCATATTGCCTGGGAAATGGAAGCTAATTAGGTCTGATCCAAGTAAAGGAAAGGTAGCTCCAATTTCTTGGATAAAGTATCCTTCATTATCACAGCATCCACATCCCATTTATGGAAATTTATGGATTTTCTCAGTCAACAGAACACCTTATGATCAATATGGTGCTTTACACTACAGTTTTTAAACTGCAACATTAACACCCCTCCTTCAGAGTGCAGGCACTGTACTTCCCATCTCCAGGACTCAAGTCCGGCCTGCTGGTTTCCCTGAATCCCTTCATAAATGTTACTTTGCTCACACTCCAACAGCACGTCAAGTATTAAAAACCATTTGTCTCCATTCACTCCTATCAAACACGCTCATGCATGCCCGCCGGAAGTCCAAGCCCCTCGCACACAAAACCTCCTTTACCCCCTCCCTCCAACCTTTCCTAGGCCAACCCCTACCCCGCCTTCCTTCCACTACAGACTGATACACTCTTAAAGTCATTCTGTTTCGCTCCATTCTCTACATGTCCGAACCACCTCAACAACCCTTCCTCAGCCCTCTGGACAACAGTTTTGGTAATCCCGCACCTCCTCCTAACTTCCAAACTACGAATTCTCTGCATTATATTCACACCACACATTGCCCTCAGACATGACATCTCCACTGCCTCCAGCCTTCTCCTCGCTGCAACATTCATCACCCATGCTTCACACCCATATAAGAGCGTTGGTAAAACTATACTCTCATACATTCCCCTCTTTGCCTCCAAGGACAAAGTTCTTTGTCTCCACAGACTCCTAAGTGCCACTCACCCTTTTCCCCTCATCATCATAATCAAAGTAAAAAAATACCTAAATCCAAAGTTTTACAATGTTCACAAATATAAAATGAAGCCTACATCCTAATTGACACTGATGAATTGGCTAACATACTTTAACACTCAGTGACTAAACTAATGTATGTCTTTTTCTTCTAAAATACACCATTGCCAAATAAGGAGATATAAAAATAAAAACTGTCTTCCTCATTCAGGTTCCTAAGGTATGGAGTCATAAAATGCTGGAGGGTATATATGCTTTCAGGTGGTAAAAATTAAACCTTCAAACCCTCGATTAAGGCACATTTGAACTACCCGACTTTCTTAACTATTGAAAACAAGTACAACTAAAGATTCATAGAATGAAAACAATTGCTATTACACTCTTTAAATTAAAAAAAAAAAAAAAAAAGTAATCTGCAGAATTTATGTAATTCCCTTTGTAGATTTTCTCAACATACTTTGGGCCATGAGCAGTGCCCCTCCAGCCTCTTGATATTCTTGCTGAGCAAGTAAATCATGTAAATTAGACATTATTTTTATAAAACTTATGTTTTTCAAAACTTATAGACTATAAATGCTTAACTTATTTAAAGCATCTGCATAAAAAAAAGTCTGAAGGGAATATTCAAGGCATTACAAAAACATTAAGTTAGACAGTCCTCGATGACGCACTGACTTTCTTGGGTTATCCTGGGTGGCTAACCCTCCGGGGTTAAAAATCCGAACGAAATCTTATCTTATCTTATCTTAAAGGTTAGTAAGCCAGTATCATAAACTGACATTAATTACCCTGTAATTATACATTCCCCTGTCATGTACCAACTCTAGCTGTATTTCTAATTTATTTTTAGCATGTGTTAACTGATAATAAAAGTATTTAACTGAGAAAATTTGTAGTACCTGACTGAGACACAGCCATCAGGGAAGCACTGACTACCAAAACATATTGCATACTCATAAAATCATAGAATGGGCCTTTAATTTTCAAGTGTTTACATGTAGTGGATATGTCAACTGATAAATCTCACTAAATCCAGTTCAATCCAGTAGGCCCACATTAATCTTCCAAACACTTCAAATGCTTCCAGAAATGACTAACACAATGTAAGGTACAATAAACTGTATTATTTTTAATGTAGAATTTAAAAAGAAAAAGGTGGTATGGCATATTCTTCCCATATATCTTTCACAATCAGTTATCTCTATATTCTATTATATGCCATTTTCAAAGAACATAACCTTCACATTGCAGTCAAGAGCTTATTGTGCTTAATATAAGCACTGATAAGTATATACTGAACTTAAAACTGATTTCATTAATAACTAATACCTGGCTGTGACGAGTAGGTTTTGTTCGAGCATGTAGGGTGAGGTAATCAATGTCCCATCCCCATACATATGCGCCACAGTGAGCAGCTGACACCAGTATAGATCCTGAGAAAAAATGAACAAATATTGAAGGAGAATATGTGAACTATGGACAGGATATATTGTGAAAAGCAGATATTTCATTCATGTAGAAATTAACACACATGTAGTACAAAATCACCAGCAGATCTTGCATACTGCTGATAACCAATACCTGAGGAGTGTTTCCTAGTAAAATGCACAGATATTTCTGCTCAAACAATATAATCAATAGGTGAGCACAAAAATGAATGTGGCAAAAATAATAATTCACCTGTTTATAAATACAGAGATTTGTATTTGTTTACTTTAGTCAATATCTTAGAGCTTAAAGTATCTTAGTGTGAGTGTCTAAGTGGATTGCAGCTTTAATGACTCTGGTGTACTCAAAAGGCTTTTAATCTCATAAATTAACTGGTGACAAGTTTTGGAGGCATTATTAATACACACATTTTCCAGAAGCTCTTCAGCCATCTTCTGGAGAGCTAGTTATAAATTTGGTTAACCAAAATACTTAAACTGCCATTCATATACTGTAGTGGTAAAAAAAAAAAAATTTAGATTGCCTTTGAAAAAATGAGATTACTTAATTTTCACAATGAGAATCAAATTTTTTATTATGGTTGGAATAATTAACATATGAACTTTGTTTCTACTTTAAAATTCTCCCCTTTTCTCTAATTACAATTATGCCAATATTTAATACTGCAGTGAAATAAAATAAATTGTATAGAAGTCTGACTCGCACCTGTGCCCACAAAGGGATCTACCACTACTTCGCCAGGCTGTACTTTGGCGTAGTTGGCCATTATGAAAGACAGTTGTGCATCCATTGATGTACTACCAATGTAAGTTCTTCTCTTTAGTGAATACTTGTCAATTAGCTCACGTTGGCCCTCCACCACCCACCGTCCAAGAAAAATCTAATGGGTGTAGTAAAAATAAAATATTAGGAAATAGCTGAAGAAAACTATGTGCACAGTGTATCAACTACAGTACAGTACATGTTTTCCTCTGTACCTAGTTAATTACTTGCTCAAGCATTCTGATGCTGAATAAGGTAGAAATAAGATTATCACAAATAAAAATAAATATATATATATTTTTTTTTTTTTTTTTTTTTTTTTTTCAACAAGTCGGCCGTCTCCCACCGAGGCAGGGTGACCCAAAAAAAAGAAAGAAAATCCCCAAAAAGAAAATACTTTCATCATCATTCAACACTTTCACCACACTCGCACATTATCACTGTTTTTGCAGAGGTGCTCAGAATACAACAGTCTAGAAGCATACACATATAAAGATACACAACATATCCCTCCAAACTGCCAATATCCCAAACCCCTCCTTTAAAGTGCAGGCATTGTACTTCCTGTTTAAGGGCAATTTTTTTTTTTTTTTTTTTTTCAACAAGTCGGCCGTCTCCCACCGAGGCAGGGTGACCCAAAAAGAAAGAAAATCCCCAAAAAGAAAATACTTTCATCATCATTCAACACTTTCACCACCAACTCGCACATTATCACTGTTTTTGCAGAGGTGCTCATAATACAACAGTCAGAAGCATACACATATAAAGATACACAACATATCCCTCCAAACTGCCAAATCCCAAACCCCTCCTTTAAAGTGCAGGCATTGTACTTCCCATTTCCAGGACTCAAGTCCGACATATGAAAAATAACCGGTTTCCCTGAATCCCTTCACTAAATATTACCCTGCTCACACTCCAACAGATCGTCAGGTCCCAAGTACCATTCGTCTCCATTCACTCCTATCTAACACGCTCACGCACGCTTGCTGGAAGTCCAAGCCCCTTACCCACAAAACCTCCTTTACCCCCTCTCTCCAACCCTTTCGAGGACGACCCCTACCCCGCCTTCCTTCCCCTATAGATTTATATGCTTTCCATGTCATTCTACTTTGATCCATTCTCTCTAAATGACCAAACCACCTCAACAACCCCTCCTCTGCCCTCTGACTAATACTTTTATTAACTCCACACCTTCTCCTAATTTCCACACTCCGAATTTTCTGCATAATATTTACACCACACATTGCCCTTAAACAGGACATCTCCACTGCCTCCAACCGTCTCCTCGCTGCTGCATTTACCACCCAAGCTTCACACCCATATAAGAGTGTTGGTACTACTATACTTTCATACATACCCTTCTTTGCCTCCATAGATAACGTTTTTTGACTCCACATATACCTCAACGCACCACTCACCTTTTTCCCTCATCAATTCTATGATTAACCTCATCCTTCATAAATCCATCCGCCGACACGTCAACTCCCAAGTATCTGAAAACATCACTTCTTCCATACTCCTCCTCCCCAATTTGATATCCAATTTTTCTTTATCCAAATCATTTGACACCCTCATCACCTTACTCTTTTCTATGTTCACTTTCAACTTTCTACCTTTACACACATTCCCAAACTCATCCACTAACCTTTGCAATTTTTTCTTTAGAATCTCCCATAAGCACAGTATCATCAGCAAAAAGTAACTGTGTCAATTCCCATTTTGAATTTGATTCCCCATAATTTAATTCCACCCCTCTCCCAAACACCCTAGCATTTACTTCCTTTACAACCCCATCTATAAATATATAAACAACCATGGTGACATTACACATCCCTGTCTAAGACCTACTTTTACCGGGAAGTAGCCCCCCTCTCTTCTACACACCCTAACCTGAGCCTCACTATCCTCATAAAAACTCTTTACAGCATTTAATAACTTACCACCTATTCCATATACTTGCAACATCTGCCACATTGCTCCTCTATCCACTCTATCATATGCCTTTTCTAAATCCATAAATGCAATAAAAACTTCCCTATCTTTATCTAAATACTGTTCACATATAGCTTCAATGTAAACCCCTTTGATCTACACATCCCTACCCACTCTAAAACCTCCTTGCTCATCCGCAATCCTACATTCTGTCTTACCTCTTAATTCTTTCAATTAAAACCCCCTACCGTACACTTTTCCTGGTATACTCAGTAAGCTTATTCCTCTAATTTTTACAGTCTCTTTTGCCCCCTTTTCCCCTTTATATAAAGGGACTATACATGCTCTCTGCCAACCCCTGGGTACCTCCCCTCTTTCATACATTTATTAAACAAAAGTACCAACCACTCCAACACTATATCCCCCCCTGTTTTAACATTTCTGTCATGATCCCATCAGTTCCAGCTGTTTTACCCCCTTTCATTTTACGTAATGCCTCACGTACCTCCCCCACACTTACATTCTGCTCTTCTTCAAATCCTAAAAGATGTATACCTCCCTGACCAGTGCAGAAATTACTGCCTCTGTTTCTTCTTAAAAATTTAAAAGTTCCTCAAAATTCTCGCCATCTACCCAATACCTCCATCTCCCCATCTACTAACTCCCCTACTCTGTTTTTAACTGACAAATCCATATTTTTCCCTAGGCTTTCTTAACTTGTTTAACTCACTCCAAAATTTTTTCTTATTTTCATTAAAATTTCTTGACAGTGCCTCTCCCACTCTATCATCTGCTCTCCTTTTGCACTCTCTCTCTACCACTCTCTTTACCTTTCTTTTACTCTCCATATACTCTGCTCTTCTTATAACACTTCTGCTTTGTAAAAACCTCTCATAAGCTACCTTTTTCTCTTTTATCACACCCTTTACTTCATCATTCCACCAATCACTCCTCTTTCCTCCTGCCCCCACCCTCCTATAACCACAAACTTCTGCCCAAAATTCAATACTGCATTTTTAAAACTATTCCAACCCTCTCAACCCCCCCACTACTCATCTTTGCACTAGCCCACCTTTCTGCCAATAGTCGCTTATATCTCACCCGAACTTCCTCCTCCTTAGTTTATACACTTTCACCTCCCTCTTACTTGTTGTTGCCACCTTCCTCTTTTCCCATCTACCTCTTACTCTAACTGTAGCTACAACTAAATAATGATCCGATATATCAGTTGCCCCTCTATAAACATGTACATCCTGGAGCCTACCCATCAACCTTTTGTCCACCAATACATAATCTAATAAACTACTTTCATTACGTGCTACATCATACCTTGTATATTTATTTATCCTCTTTTTCATAAAATATGTATTACTTATTACCAAATTTCTTTCTACACATAGCTCAATTAAAGGCTCCCCATTTACATTTACCCCTGGCACCCCAAATTTACCTACTACTCCTTCCATAACATTTTACCCACTTTAGCATTGAAATCCCCAACCACCATACTCTCACACTTGATTCAAAACTCCCCACGCATTCACTCAACATTTCCCAAAATCTCTCTCTCTCCTCTACACTTCTCTCTTCTCCAGGTGCATACACGCTTATTATAACCCACTTTTCACATCCAATCTTTATTTTACTCCACATAATCCTTGAATTTACACATTTATAGTCCCTCTTTTCCTGCCATAGCTTATCCTTCAACATTATTGCTACTCCTTCTTTAGCTCTAACTCTATTTGAAACCCCTGACCTAATCCCATTTATTCCTCTCCACTGAAACTCTCCCACCCCCTTCAGCTTTGTTTCACTTAAAGCCAGGACATCCAGCTTCTTCTCATTCATAACATCCACAATCATCTCTTTCTTATCATCTGCACAACATCCACGCACATTCAGACTTCCCACTTTGACAATTTTCTTCTTCTTATTCTTTTTAGTAATCTTTACAGGAAAAGGGGTTACTAGCCCATTGTTCCCGGCATTTTAGTTGACTTTTTACAACACGCATGGCTTACGGAGGAAAGATTCTAATTCCACTTCCCCATGGATATAAAAGGAAAATTAATAAGACCAAGAACTATTAAGATAAAATCAAAGAAAACTCAGATGAGTGTGTATAAATAAATGTGTACATGTATGTGTAGTGTGACCTAAGTGTAAGTAGAAGTAGCAAGACATGCCTGTAATCTTGCATATTTATGAGACAGACAAAAGACATCAGCAATCCTACCATCATGTAAAACAATCACAGGCTTCGTTTTACACTCACTTGGCAGGACGGTAGTACCTCCCTGGGTGGTTGCTGTCTACCAACCTACTACAATGTGTGGTGTAAATATTATGCAGAAAATTCGGAGTGTGGAAATTAGGAGAAGGTGTGGAGTTAATAAAAGTATTAGTCAGAGGGCAGAAGAGGGGTTGTTGAGGTGGTTTGGTCATTTAGAGAGAATGGATCAAAGTAGAATGACATGGAAAGCATATAAATCTATAGGGGAAGGAAGGCGGGGTAGGGGTCGTCCTCGAAAGGGTTGGAGAGAGGGGGTAAAGGAGGTTTTGTGGGTAAGGGGCTTGGACTTCCAGCAAGCGTGCGTGAGCGTGTTAGATAGGAGTGAATGGAGACGAATGGTACTTGGGACCTGACGATCTGTTGGAGTGTGAGCAGGGTAATATTTAGTGAAGGGATTCAGGGAAACCGGTTATTTTCACATAGTCGGACTTGAGTCCTGGAAATGGGAAGTACAATATATTTTCTTATACCATATTAATGATTTTCTACCAAGGTTGAGTGACCCAAAGAAACATAATCACCCTAATTTATCCAATAGCTGCTTTGCCAGAAGTGTGTGAACATAACAGTATGAATGACCCTCTGAACTGCAAGTTTTAATACTAGCTGTTTAACATCAAAGACAGAAAGTGCTGCAGAACAAGGTACTAGGCATAGACATAAACCTAAGATTTATAAAAACTTTCTTTTAAGATCATCTTACAATTAAAAGCAGTAGAAAGCAAAGGTGTGAGAAATTTGTAACTTTAACCCCTTGACTGTCGCAACCCCCAAATCTTGAGGTGTCTCCTGGTGTTGCCAAATTTAAAAAAAAAAAAAAAAAATTCTTATGAAATGATAGAGAATCTTTTCCCGATTGTAATGACACCAAGAAAAAACAAAATTTGATGGAAAACTGACGGAATTACATTCTCGCGAAGTGAGCGACCTCGGCGATATTTACGAATCGGCGATTTCGCCCACTTTGAGCCCTATTTTTGGCTAATTCCATTGTTCCAGTCGACCAAACTCATAGTTATTTCTTTAGAACTCAATTTTTTTCTATCGATGGAGTACAAGAAACTGCCCATTTACTGATTTCAACTACCCAATAACGTGGTTAGAAATTTGCAATTTGGCCAATTTCACGAAAATTAAAAAATATGAGTTTCAAAATAGGGTCCAGAATGAACAATGCAGACATTCCTGGCTCTAAAATAACATTTTATTTGTTCATCAGTCACGTCTCCAAGCCCCTCTGATATTACTCTTGCTTTCTATTATGAATTATTATTCAAACAAAAAATAGAAGATTTACTGTTATGCAGACTACTGCAATATTGTAATAATTGTATAAATAATGTCAACCCATTCATGACTGCATATCAGAATGGCTACTTGGACATTTATTGGAAAATGGCATCGTTTGTTTACTTTTGAACCGGCAAAAAATCAAACATTTTCCCTAATTTGAGCTCCATTTCAAGGTTCTTTTCATAGTAAAACCAATCAAAATCACCTCTATTTCTATAATGTGTTTTCCATTCTATCAAATGAGACCAAGAAAATGAGAATACAACCATAAATACTAAACGAAAATAGACCACAAAGTCGGCAATTTAATAAAAAAAATGGTCAGTTTTTTTCTCATTATGCACTGCGTGATGCAGGATTTTTTTATGTGGTGCACACTGACCACACAGACCCATTCTCTCACATGTGGGCCTACCAGCTTTCTCCTGCTTGATTTGAAGCCGCTAGAATTTATGAGTACATATATATACGTCAAAAACGGTGGCTCGTAAGACGTATATATATACGACCAAAACAGTCAAAGGGTTAATATTTAGTGGCAATACACTATATTATAGTGCTGTTGTAACACTGACTCCTGACTGCTCAAAGATCAAACCCTCCAAATGCTAATTAATCATCAAAGTTTCATGGAAGAACACCCATTAACAATTTTCAGGAATTCTATAATGTCATAATCTGGGAGCCCTACTGTATTACTCTGCGCTGTACCTCCAATTCATTCATTTATTCCTTTCATCTTCAGGTAGAGGAATTTGCTGTAATACAAGAGTAACTGACCCTGTATGGTGCCTCGGGAATCAGATTCGGGTGTAAACCATAATATTCGATAAGATGAAGGCATGTATCAGCATTCTTTAGGTTCACACTGCCCTTAAAGGGTAGATAGCTCAATGACTGCAAAAAAAAAAAAAAAAAGAAGAAGAATTATTAGTTTATCACTGGCCTAAGTTGAAATACGTATTGACTTTCTAATATTTATTGTATAAAATACAATTATAAAATTGAATAAAAATTTTTTAAGCAAAAAAAAAAAATTTTTTTTTACCAGTTCAGCATAGTTATCACTGGTAAAAAACAAAGAAATTCATCATTAATACTTAGTTTTCTACTGTATTTTAGAGTCATCCTGTTACTACCTAGCAAGGGCTGTACATTCTCCATTAACACACATCACATCACAAAAAAACGGGAATTGGAATCCTGCGGGTATAACCTCTAAGATTCAGGTCATTTTTTTCCGGAAGTCACTTGTTTTATTCATTTGCACAAACTGCTAGATACACACATCATGGGAGATGTAAAGAATCCCATCAGTGGCCCCCCGGGTTTACGTATTTTTTTCTTTCCAGAAGTATGTTCAGGTCCCAGACTGACCAAAATTTGTTCCCATAAGGAATATTGTAAAATTAATTTAGTCCTTTTTCAGACCCAAAAACACACATACAAACCATTTACATAAATAAAACTTACAAAACTGTCGCTTTGGGAGCTGTCGTAAACCGGGGGCCACTGTAATGCCTGGAACTCCTAAGACAAATTATTAAGTTCATCTCCCTGCAGCTAAACAAACACAAACACATGACGAACAATGTAAAAACATATCAACTTTTCATAATCAAATCTTGACCCCAGTAACTCAGTCATCCCTGTCAAGAACTACCAATAACAGATTTAAAAAGTAACGTCTTGGTATGTTACCCCTTCTTATACCATTTGGCTAAAATGCAATGTCATAACAGTTACCATGTTCAACCTTACTTTATTGTTTAGGCTTTTATCAAATGTCCAGAGGGTTAGTGTGAACTTTTTTCCCCTGCCCAGCCCCAAAGGTTTTTTTTTAACCTTTGTTGGGCAAGGGAATTACTATATACAAATATTCAAATTAATTCTAAAAATGAAAAATACGTATGTCAAAAAACCAGCCAAAAGCAATAAAAGGAACCCCCAAAAGAAAAGCTGGGGGGGTAAGTCATCAAAGTTTTCCCAAAAAAAAGGGAAGGGTGTTACGACACAGCCCAAACCGAAAAAAGAATAACCCTAATGGTGGGTGGTCAATATACTTAAGCTTTATGCCCAGGCTATGATGGTTTTGTGGGCCAGCAGCACTGATATGAACAGCCTGGTTCAAGAGGCAATAAACAAGGAAGCCTGGTCTCAGGCCAAGCTGTGAGGATAGAAAATCCTCAAATCAATCACAGGTATGTCCATGATGAGGTCCAAGAGAATGCAAACTGCAAGTGCTAGGCCCAAGACATGTCTCTAGTGTTATGGGTCATCACTCTGAGTGAGGAAGGTGGTGGTGTAAGCAGTTACTGTACATTACAGGCATTGTAAACTGTTTTACCCAGGTGAAGATGAGTTTGGAGATGGTGCAAAGACCTAAAGGCAGACTAATGAAGAGACTCACTGTAGAATTTTTAAACCATAGCAAGGACAAACAAGAAATGACATTCATGTAAGAATGAAACTAAACAGAACGTGGAATTTCTTGACAAATCCATGATGTATAAGGTATGACTTGTGAACTCACTTGTTACTGAGAAAAAAGCCTCATCCCTTTGTGAGGGTGACTGAGCTTTTTGTGATGAAGTAACAAATCAGGTGATCTCTGTAGGGCACCTATGCAGTTTCTCAATAAAAGTCACGTATGACAGCTGTAGAACCTCCCTCACCAAGTCCCATAATTAGTGGAACCAAGGTTGAAGAAATCTCCATGGTGTGATGAGGATGCAATATATGCATAACTCTGTCAGGAATGGAACTGAAGGGAAGAGTTATGGGGAGTGGAACATTGTCTGATCTAAGGATAACATTTGCTGCTTGAGCCAATGGATCTGAAAGGAAGAAAGGAATAGTGAAAGTCTCCTGTGTGGCAAGTAGATCCATCTGGAAGACCCAAGATATCTACCAGGGACTGAGTAACACCCTGGTGAAGTTCTGTCAGGAAAGAAAGATCCCAGATTCCCATCTGGGATCTATCCAAGTGGAGAAGGTACTACATACTTTGATGCAGAGTGTGTAGGTTTGAATCCTGCCGTGGACTGAGAGATAATGTTTGTAAATAATTTTGCCTGTTTGCAAATTGTTAAGCACATACTCTTTGTATATGACTATGTTGAGCTTATACATATACATGTATAACTGTGTTGAGGTTATACGAGTGCAATGGCTCATTAAATGGGATTCCAATTTTGTGAAAAGAAATCTAAGCAAAATCTGTTAAGAGTACTATAAAGTCCTACCTCAATTTTCTTTAGCTTCTCTGAAAGTCTGAGTGTCTTATTGAATGATTCCACCCGAACCATAAAGGTCTTCTCGTGAACTAGATGTGGCTTGGTTAAATTCTCTGGAAGAGACTTGATATTTGAGTGAAGTTCTGCCTCGGTGTCTCCTTGACCCCTGCAAAATTTAGTCAACTGCATAAAGTCATTAGCCAAAATACTTAATTTTTTAAACTTAACTTTCAGTGTGAAACACTGTATGTTACACTGTGCTACTATTATTTTTTAACATATCAGCCATTTCCCACTGAGGTAAGGTGACCTGAATAGGAGGAAACACTTTCACCATCACTCATTCACTCTTGCCAGAATGAAGGTACTGTACATCCCACTTCCAAGACTAAAGTTCAGTGAACCAATTTCCCTGAATTTTTTCACATTACCTTGCTCACATCCCAACAGAACATAAAGTAATAATAATTAATAATAATAATAAAAATAATAATAACAATAATAATAATAAGGCCAAGGCAGGATAACCCTGCCATGGCAGATAGCCAAATGTCTAAGAAAATAGAGTTAATCCCAATATGAGATGCTGCTGCTACTATTTCCAGAAGTACATGCCTATTGTGTACCATATCATCCTAGAAAGAGGCCATGGAATGTGGCAGTATAGAAAACTACAGTTAATATAAAGAGGAGGAATTTTGGTATAAGTTTTATGTATGGCATCTAAGCTTGTACAGGCAAAGCATGTAAAAATATAAATTCTTTGAAAAGTTCTGAATAGTGACAATCCCAAATTGGCAAAAAAATTTTAGGTCTCAAAATTGTAAAAGAAAAAAAAGTAACACTGTACTGTAACTGTAGTTGGATGCAGTGATGTGTTATGTTTAAGAATAGATCAATATATACAAGTACTTTACTGTAGTTGGTAAGTAGGAGTTTATCTGTTGCACCTATTAACAGTTTGGCGACCTAGTCTTAGACCAGATTGCTGGGGCAATGATTTGTAAAGGAAATATTGTGTGGATAAGAACTATAAACCCTTTGACTGTTGCGAGCCCCTTTCTGAAACTGTCATTCTATGGTGCAAAATTTTTGAAAAAAAAAAATAATTATTTTTTGTTATGAAATGATAGAGAATCTTTTCCCGATGATAATGACACCAAAAGTACAAAATTTGGTCGAAAACTCATGGAATTACGCTCCCGCGAAATTAGCGGTCTCGGCAACATATAATCATCGGCAATTTCGCCAACTTTGAGCCCTGCTTTTGGCCAATTCCTTTGTTCCAGTTGACCAAGCTCATAACTATTTCTTTAGAACTCCATTTTTTCTATCAGTTGAGTACAAGAAACCTCCCATTTACCGATCTGAACTACCCAATAAAGTGGTCAGAAATTGGCAATTTGGCCAATTTCACACAAATTAAAAAAGACGCCAATTTCAAAATAGGGTCCAGAATAAACAAAGTGGACATTCTTGGCACTAAAATAAAATATCCTCTGTTCATTAGTCACATCTCTAGGCCCCTCTTATATTACTATTGCTTTCTATTTTTATTTTTTATTCATACAAAAAATACAAAATTTACTGTTATGCATACTACATTATTGTAAAAATGGTATAAATAATATCAGTGCACTAGTGAAAGAATATCAGACTCCCCAGTTGACGTGTATTGGACGTGTGGTGTGATTTGCTTACTCCTGAACATTGGTAAAAATCGAACATTTCTGCTACTTTGAGCTCAATTTCAAGGTCGTTTTCATCATGAAACTAATCAAAATCATCTCTATTTCTATAATATGTTTTCCATTTTATCATGCAAGACCATGAAAATGAGAATACAACGATAAATATTATATGAAAATACACCTCAAAGTTGGCATTTTAATCCAAAGAAACGGTCAGTTTTTTTTTTCTCATTATGCACTGCGAGTTGCAGGATTCTTTTTATGTAGTGCACACTGACCACACAGACCCATTCTCTCACATGTGGGCCTACCAGCTTTCTCCTGCTTGATTTGAAGCCGCTAGGATTATTGAGTATATATACGTCCGAAACACTGGCTCATAAGACGTATATATACGACCAAAACAATCATAGGGTTAAAAAACATACAGCAAAGTAAAGGTAAGTATACAGTGGACCCCCGCATAACGATCACCTCCAAATGCGACCAATTATGTAAGTGTATTTATGTAAGTGCGTTTGTACGTGTATGTTTGGGGGTCTGAAATTGACTAATCTACTTCACAATATTCCTTATGGGAAAAAATTCAGTCAGTACTGGCACCTGAACATACTACTGGAATGAAAAAAGTTCGTTAACCGGGGGTCCACTGTATACTAAATGTAAATACAAGCTTTTAAGATTCATCAGCCATCTTTGGTGTTAATGAGACAGAAAGAAGGCCTGTGCTGCACTCGTATGACAACTGGTAGTACCTCAATGGATGGTTGCTGTTTACCAACCTGAAGATTTTTTTAGAGATCAAAATGGTGTCTCCCCTTTTTCTGTTCTTGTTGCCGAAATGTAAGGGTTTTCCACACTATTTATCCCAATTCTTCAGCAGGAATGTGTCAGCAGTTTCTAAATTATGGATTAAGGCCAATATACACCAAATGACCTTTGAGAATGCCTGATTACATTTCACAATTCAGTCCAGTGTTCACACATTAAATTCATTATGGTGCCCTCCCCACTACATCACTCAGTGGCTGTTCTACCATCCCCCTCACTCGAAATTTCTCGAAAGGGTCAAATCAGCATCACACTTTATTACACAATTATTGTATTATTCAAATTTACACATGCTGAATTTAGGAAAATTCAAGATTTTCCAAAGCAGTTTAATACTAGTACAGTGGACCCCCGGTTTACGATCAGCTCTCAATGCGACCAATTATGTAAGTGTATTTACGTAAGTGCGTTTGTATATGTATGTTTGGGGGTCTGAAATGGACTAATCTAATTCACAATATTCCTTATGGGAACAAATTCGGTCAGTACTGGCACCTGAACATACTTCTGGAATGAAATAATATCATAAACCGGGGGTCCACTGTAATGGCTAAAATTGCTTCAAAACCTCACCATAGCTCATAACAAGATCGCACAAGCATGCTGCGTGACATTAATTTTCGAGCATCGTCTTCAGACTGCATTTCCAAAATCACATATGGCTGAAAAGAAAAAAAATAATGTTCAGGCTATTACATTAGAACAAGAGACTATTAAAAAAGAGATTACTTGTGTTATGGCTTAAGCACTCATATCACAAATATTTTTTTTAATGCACCGGCCATCTCCCGCCAAGGCAAGGTGACCCAAAAGAAAAAGCAGAAGTTTTACCTTTTACATTCAGAACATAATTTATACAGAAGGGGTTCCTAGCCCCTTGCCCCCGGCATTTTATTCGCCTCTCATATCACTAATATTTTCACAGTTAAAATATGAGCAAAGTACTGTATTGAGATCAATAAAATATATTATAAATGCTGTACGTATTTTTATTCACTTTTAATGCTAGCTAAATTACAAAATTCAGTGCAGTCGGGATATTCATTTATTTATGATTGCAAACAGACAAATTAAATTATTATACAGTAATTTTAACTCACATCTTCCTTTGGTTTATCAATCCACTTAATAGGAATGTTGAACATCTGTGCAATGGACATGAGTTCCTATAATAGAAATTAAAAATTAATGTCAGTCCTGTGATCAAGAAGTTCAGTAAAATGTAAACTAATTTTCCTGGCTTTAAAAACTGGCCCCATATGGGTTTAGCACTTTTTCTAAATATAATAGTATAATTTAAAAACCAATACGTATAAGTAATGGTATAAATGACTGCCACTATTCTATTTGAGATGTGATTAAATAATGAACAGTAAACACAAGACATTTTTCGGGCTATTAAACAAAGTATATACTGTATTGTACTGTATATTTCTCTATCTAAATCTTAACTATATACAGCCTCTCCTCACTGAACGACGGGGTTCCATTCCTAAAACCACGTTAGTAAACGAATTCGTTGCTAAGCAAGGAGAATACTTTAATGGTAGCGGGTTTGTGTCAGCCATCTTTGATATTGTTTTAATGTCACCTTTGCACCATTTGTAACATTTTTAGTATATTTTTAAATGTTTTTACAGTAGTGTACTGTATATTTTAATAAACAGAATAGAGGAAATCAGCTGAAATATACATTATTTAAGTATACATACTGGTGAGAGAGCCCATCATAAGTCTGAGTCACTGGTAAACAAGTATACGTCGCTAAGTGAGGATAGGATGTATAAATATTTTCCATTATTTAAATCCTAAGTGTCTCATGCCATATTTTACAATGACTGATATGTACTCCAAACAAAGAAAATTTCTTGTGCTTACTGGTATTCTGAATTCAATATGTTCATTTGCACACCATAAGAGGTATCTTCTGAATGTCTGACTACACATGATGGCTGCAGCTGTGTTGTATATTATCAGTACTGTACTGGTACTATAGTTTTCTCCTCATTCTTCTAAAACCTTTGCTTTGTCCATTCTTGTTGATATAATCATGTCAGCACCTGTTGAAGAACACCTAATTACATAATGCTATATACATGTATATTTATATTTACACACACACACACCTGTACACTGTACACTGTGTATGTTAGGCCCATATCGGAGTATGCAGCACCAGTTTGGAACCCACACCTAGCCAAGCACGTAAGGAAACTAGAGAAAGTGCAAAGGTTTGCAGCAAGACTACTCCTGGAGCTAAGGGGTATGTCCTACAAAGAGAGGTTAAGGAAAATCAACTTGATGACACTGGAAGACACTCCTCACTCCTGAAAGATGTTATACCTCCCTGCCCAATGCATGAAATCCCTGCCTTCATCTCTTTATCAACAATTAACAGCTCCTCAACATATTCCTTCCATCTTCCCAATACCTCCATCTCCTAATCTAATAACTCCCTTCTTTTGTTTTTAACTGTTAAATCCATTTCTTCCCTATGCTTTCTCAACTTATTAATTTCTCCAAAACTTTTTCTTATTCTTAGCAAAATTTCTTGTTTTACAAAATCTCACCCTCTCTCTCTCATTTGCTCTTCTTTAACACTTTCTCATCACTTTTTTTGAACCTATCTTGTAATCTTTGTATACTCCTCCCTCCTTATATCACTTCTGCTTTGTTAAAAACCTCTCAAATGCAAACTTTCTCTTTTACCACTCTTTACCTCATCATTCCACCAATTGCTCCTCTTCCCTCCTGCACCTGTCCTCCTATATCCACAAACCTCTGCTGCATACAAGCATTTTTAAATCTACCCCATAGAAGGTCCATGGCCTGGTATACAAAGCTCTCCCTTCACACGCTGAATGTCCGTGGTTCGATTCCCGGCAAGGGTAGAAACACTGAGCATGTGTCCTTACACCTGTTGTCCCATTCACCTAATAAATGTTAGTTGACCGGTGTGGGTTGCATCCTGGGGACAAGATTGAGGCCCCCAATGGAAATGAGATGCACTGTCTTGCTTGGGTTATCCTGGGTGGCTAACCCTCCTCGGTTAAAAATCCGAATGAAATCTTCTTATCTTACCTTACCTCTCTCTAGCCCACCTTTCTCCCATCAGTTATTATAATTATTACTAAACCTGTAAGGATCATACACCTGGGGAATCAAAGACAGTCAGATTTGATCCGAGAGGAGAAGGTAGCTCCAATTCTTTGGATCAAGAGCCCGTTACTAACATAATGGCTCCCCGCTGCAGAGTTGAACTAATATAAGTAAGTTTATTCAGGTATACACAAATACAGTTACATAAATTATCATACATAGCAGCATATGTGTAGAGAACCTGGGATAACCCAAAAAAGTCAGTGACTTATTTCCATTGGGGTCCTGCACACAACTAATGAATAAGAACTGGTTGTTTAGTTTATTGGGTTTAAAACCTATCGACTGCACGAGGATCATTAAAGCTGCATGTAACATATCCACCACCACCACCACATTATATTATAATTATGGGGAGCGCTAAACCCGTAGAATTACACAGCGCGTGTAGGGGTGATGGAAGGTATTCAGGCTCAAATTCAGGGAACCGGGGCACAGATACAATTCCCGACATCAAGAGCCCCTCACCAGCATCAGGGAACCTCCCTTGAGGAGATATTCACCACCAGTCAAACATAATTTAATTACTAAAACAGAGATTAAAGCAAATTCAGCACACGTACATCAACGCATCTCTCAATCGTCTCGTTATTGGGGGTTTATAGGGCAACTGACAGCTTAAGCCGTATTGAAACCTACTTTTCGGTGTCCAGGGAAGAAACTTCGAGATATAATAATAATAATAATATCTTTATTTCTACAAGTACATGTACAAGGTATACAGACCATAGCTGACATCAGTGACATACTACTATATAGAAAGTCGCTTGTTATGCAGAGCATTTCGGGCAAATTAGGTCAGTTTTGTCCCAGGATGCGACCCACACCAGTCGACTAACACCCAGGTACCTATTCTACTGATAGGTGAACATAGACAACCAGTGTAAAGAAACACGCCCAATTTTTCTACCCTCGCCGGGAATCGAACCCGGACGTTCGCCGTGTGAAGCGAGAGCTTTAGCCACCAGGTCACGGGGTGTGATATCTTTAATACCCCCTCTCCTCATCAACCACCCACCCATCATCCACATTCCATCCTTCTTACTCTACCCTAGCTTACCAAACCTCTGAAGAACTGAATTGGACACCTCTTAGTGAATCTTCATCTTCATGGGTTTGTAAGGGCCACTGACTTCTTATGCCGTATCTAATGCTGCTTTCCAATCTAAGGAGAATTATTATTATTATTATTATAATCAAAAAGAAGCGCTAAGCAATCTAAGGAGAGTTTACCTGGAGAGAGTTCCGGGGGTCAACGCCCCCGCGGCCCGGTCTGTGACCAGGCCTCCTGGTGGATCAGAGCCTGATCAACCAGGCTGTTGCTGCTGGCTGCACGCAAACCAACGTACGAGCCACAGCCCGGCTGGTCAGGAACCGACTTTAGGTGCTTGTCCAGTGCCAGCTTGAAGACTGCCAAGGGTCTGTTGGTAATCCCCCTTATGTATGCTGGGAGGCAGTTGAACAGTCTCGGGCCCCTGACACTTATTGTATGGTCTCTTAACGTGCTAGTGACACCCCTGCTTTTCATTGGGGGGATGGTGCATCGTCTGCCAAGTCTTTTGCTTTCGTAGTGAGTGATTTTCGTGTGCAAGTTCGGTACTAGTCCCTCTAGGATTTTCCAGGTGTATATAATCATGTATCTCTCCCGCCTGCGTTCCAGGGAATACAGGTTTAGGAACCTCAAGCGCTCCCAGTAATTGAGGTGTTTTATCTCCGTTATGCGCGCCGTGAAGGTTCTATGTACATTTTCTAGGTCAGCAATTTCACCTGCCTTGAAAGGTGCTGTTAGTGTACAGCAATATTCCAGCCTAGATAAAACAAGTGACCTGAAGAGTGTCATCATGGGCTTGGCCTCCCTAGTTTTGAAGGTTCTCATTATCCATCCTGTCATTTTTCTAGCAGATGCGATTGATACAATGTTATGGTCCTTGAAGGTGAGATGCTCCGACATGATCACTCCCAGGTCTTTGACGTTGGTGTTTCGCTCTATTTTGTGGCCAGAATTTGTTTTGTACTCTGATGAAGATTTAATTTCCTCGTGTTTACCATATCTGAGTAATTGAAATTTCTCATCGTTGAACTTCATATTGTTTTCTGCAGCCCACTGAAAGATTTGGTTGATGTCCGCCTGGAGCCTTGCAGTGTCTGCAATGGAAGACACTGTCATGCAGATTCTGGTGTCATCTGCAAAGGAAGACATGGTGCTGTGGCTGACATCCTTGTCTATGTCAGATATGAGGATGAGGAACAAGATGGGAGCGAGTACTGTGCCTTGTGGAAGAGAGCTTTTCACCGTAGCTGCCTCGGACTTTACTCTGTTGACGACTACTCTCTGTGTTCTATTAGTGAGGAAATTATAGATCCATCGACCGACTTTTCCTGTTATTCCTTTAGCACGCATTTTGTGCGCTATTACGCCATGGTCACACATGTCGAAGGCTTTGCAAGTCTGTATATATTACATCTGCAGTCTTTTTGTCTTCTAGTGCATCTAGGACCTTGTCGTAGTGATCCAATAGTTGAGACAGACAGGAGCGACCTGTTCTAAACCCATGTTGCCCTGGGTTGTGTAACTGATGGGTTTCTAGATGGGTGTGATCTTGATTCTTAGGACCCTTTCAAAGATTTTATGATATGGGATGTTAGTGCTACGTCTGTAGTTCTTTGCTGTTGCTTTACTGCCCCCTTTGTGGAGTGGGGCTATGTCTGTTGTTTTTAGTAACTGTGGGACGACCCCCGTGTCCATGCTCCCTCTCCATAGGATGGAAAAGGCTCGTGATAGGGGCTTCTTGCAGTTCTTGATGAACACGGAGTTCCATGAGTCTGGGCCTGGGGCAGAGTGCATGGGCATGTCATTTATCGCCTGTTCGAAGTCATTTGGCGTCAGGATAACATCGGATAGGCTTGTGTTAACCAAATTTTGTGGCTCTCTCATAAAAAATTCATTTTGATCTTCGACTCTCAGTCTGGTTAGCAGCTTGCTAAAAACTGAGTCACATTGGGACTTAAGTAGCTCACTCATTTCCTTGCTGTCATCTGTGTAGGACCCATCTTGTTTAAGTAGGGGCCCAATACTGGACGTTGTTCTCGACTTTGATTTGGCATAGGAGAAGAAATACTTTGGGTTTCTTTCGATTTCATTTATGGCTTTTAGTTCTTCCCGCGATTCCTGACTCCTATAAGATTCCTTTAGCTTAAGTTCGATGCTTGCTATTTCTCTGATCAGTGTCTCCCTACGCATTTCAGATATATTGACCTCTTTAGCCGCTCTGTTATTCTTTTCCGTCGCCTGTAAAGGGAGCGCCTGTCTCTTTCTATTTTACATCTACTCCTCCTTTTTCTTAGAGGAATAAGCCTTGTGCATACATCGAGTGCCACCAAGTTAATCTGTTCTAGGCATAAGTTGGGGTCTGTGTTGCTTAGTATATCTTTCCAGCTTATATCGGTTAGGACTTGGTTTACTTGGTCCCACTTTATGTTTTTGTTATTGAAGTTGAATTTGGTGAATGCTCCCTCATGACTAATCTCATTATGTCGGTCTGGGGCCCCACGCATACATGTCTGAACCTCAATTATGTTGTGATCTTAGTATATTGTTTTTGATATGGTGACATTTCTTATCAGATCATCATTGTTAGTGAAGATGAGGTCTAGTGTATTCTCCAGTCTAGTAGGCTCTATTATTTGCTGGTTTAATTTGAATTTTGTGCAGATATTTAAAAGCTCGTGTGAGTGTGAGTTTTCATCAGAGCTGCCTCCTGGTGTTATTACTGCAACAATATTATTTGCTATAGTCCTCCATTTTAGGTGCCTTAAGTTAAAATCCCTCAGGAGCAAGATGTTGGGTGCAGGAGCTGGAAGATTTTCCAGACAGTGGTCAATTTTTAACAGCTGTTCCTGGAATTGCTGGGATGTTGCATCCGGAGGCTTGTAGACTACCACCTTTACTGCTAAAACTTCCACTACATCATTTGAGGCATTAAGCAGTTCTGTGCAAACAAGTGACTCTGCAATGCACAGGCCAACCCCCCCCCCCCCTTTTGCCTGTTCACTCTGTCACATCTGTATAGGTTGTAACCTGGGATCCATATTTCGTTGTCCAAGTGATCCTTTACGTGGGTCTCAGTGAAAGCCGCGAACATTTCCTTTGCCTCTGCAAGCAGTCCACGGATGAAAGGTATTTTGTTGTTTGTTGCTGGCTTTAGACCCTGTATATTTGCAAAGAAGAATGTCATCGGACTGGTGGTATTGTTGGTACTGGGGGGGGGGATTTTTTTTTCCGGCATTAGTATCTGTATCTGTTGGTTTGGAGTGGAGGCCATCCACTCCAGGAATGACTGGATTTGGTGTACGATTTCTGCCATTTCCTGCCAGTTTTTTTTTCCTTCCTGGCACTAAAAAACCTCTCTTGAGTGGCTGTGGCTACTCAGGTTTTCCCATGGCCTGGATGTTTTGTATCTTTTTGTCCCCTTTAGATGGTGTGCCTGGCAATTTAAGTTATAGCACAGTCTTTCCTGTACTGAAGAGATACACATTTCAGGGTGAAAAAGCTTACAGGAAGGGAGTTTGCATTTTCCTGTTGTCATATGGGCACGGCATTTTCTAGGGTGGTCATAGTTGCACGTCCCGTCTGTTTTTCCAGATTTCCCATGTCTACAGATACCAAGTGCATAGTATGTGCACAGGCTTGGTTTCCGTTTGCCTTGGGTTTCTGTGACTGTATTTCCTGTTGGTGCATGTTTCCCTGTCTTATTCCTATCCTCCCTAGCACCAACAATGGAGCTCCCACCAGTTGTTTTTGGTAATATATCCTCACTATTGCTAGTGGAGTCCTCTTGTTTGCTATTTCCTCTGGTATTTCTAGTTTGCAATATTGGTTTTATCTTATCTTTGACTACACTTGTTTCCCCACTAGAAGAGATACTGACTGCAGAATCCGCAGAAAAATGTCGCAATAATCATTTTATATATATTTCCACTTTCGTCTAATATACTGCTTATGTTATTTTCATTAATAGCCAAGGTGAAAATAGCTATAGGCTTAGCGGACTGAAGCCTAGGACCTCAGAATCTGGGAGGCTTCCTGTGTACAATATTTTTGACAATATCATAGGCCTTTTTTACACATGCTGTCATAACACACAGTAATCTCTAAACAACCCTTCAGTAATGTTCTTTCCCCCCCATTTCAGAATAATACTGTTTTAAGCCAATTACTCGACACTAGCATTGATTTCTGTATTGATTTTGTCCTTGCAGGAAAGCAGTGAGATAGATAAGTCGACTGAGACCCTCAGTCATTTGTACTCTGATGTTAATGAGGTGATACCAGGCTTCAAGTTAACAATCTTTTGCAGAAAATGGAAAAACTGGAATTTGTGATTATGCTGCATTTTTGGACCCGTGTGCTAGGTCATTTTCACAAGGTCAGCAAAGTCATTCAGAAATCAGAACTGTTACTGAGTACTTGTGCATGTTTGTACAGTTCACTTCAGGATTTTTAAAACAAAATTAGAGACTTTGATGAGCTTGAGCAACAACCAAAAGTCATCTTGCCAAAAGTTAACTACCGAAATGTCAACTACCGAATTTATCAACTTGTCAGTTCTCTGAACCGACAAGTTGATAAATTAGACACATGTGCAACACTTTGGTATCTTTATTGAGGAAACGTTTCGCCACGCAGTGGCTTCATCGGTCCTATACAAAGAAGAATTGTGAATATCAGAGAGAGTTTGAGGTAATCAGTCCCTCATCCTGGAGTCGACGTAATCAAACTCCTTCTGATCTTCCATTAGTCTTTCCAAGATTGATGGAAGATCAAGATAACAGATCATCTTACTATTCATGTGCTGCTATATTACCTCTCTATGGGTCAGAAGTTAGTTTATCTAGGGACTTGTTTTGGCAGTCACATTCTAAATCGTGTCTTGCTGAACACACCACACATATAGTACTCTTGTACTTTAAAGTGCAGCAAATTTCAATCCACTAACATACCATATAGTACTGTTTCTTTGAGTGTTTCTCTGTACAGTATCATGTATTTAATGTACAGAATATAAAATAATTATAAATACAGAAGCTATGTACCAAGCGATGTTACCTGGAGGTTACCTGGAGGTTATTCCGGGGATCAACGCCCCCGCGGCCCGGTCCATGACCAGGCCTCCCGATGGATCAGGGCCTGATCAACTAGGCTGTTACTGCTGGCCGCACGCAGTCCAACGTACGAGCCACAGCCCGGCTGATCCGGCACTGACTTTAGGTATCTGTCCAGCTCTCTCTTGAAGGCAGCCAGGGGTTTATTGGCAATTCCCCTAATGCTTGATGGGAGGCTGTTGAACAGTTTTGGGCCCCGGACACTTATGGTGTTTTCTCTTAGTGTACCAATGGCGCCCCTACTTTTTATTGGCGGCATTTTGCATCGCCTGCCCAGTCTTTTACTTTCGTAGGGGGTGATTTCTGTGTGCAGATTTGGGACCATTCCTTCCAAGATTTTCCAAGTGTAGATTATGATATATCTCTCCCTCCTGCGTTCCAACGAGTACAAGTCAAGTGCTTCCAAGCGTTCCCAGTAGTTAAGGTGCTTGACAGAACTTATACGTGCAGTAAAGGATCTCTGTACACTCTCTAGATCTGCGATTTCACCTGCTTTGTATGGAGCTTAGTTCCTTATTTCTTGTTATTAAAGTTCTCAAACTTTTATGGTTGGTTTTATTTCAACAAGTTGTAATCCCAAAGCGCTATGAGAAGCCCAGTATGGTACAGGATAATTGGTCTTGAATTCTTACTAACTCTTACAAAGCCAGAAACAGGCTAGATTCTAGAGGGAAATCAGTAAGTTGACCTGGTATTCTCTGGTACATGTCTATGCTAATATATGTCGCATTTTGTAACACTGCCCAAAGCTGGGCGATGAAAGAAAAAAAGGGAACAAGAGCCCCTTGCAAAGTCCCCAAGTAGGCCAGGTAAACCCCACCTTGCCAAGTACCAGCAGAGCGGGACGCCCACACTCTCACCTGAGTTCAAGAACCGGCTTCACTCCTAAATCGTTAAAAGATCATAAAGAGGAAAAAATGTAGTTTTAGTTGTGCACCCTTACCGGCTAGTTTATGGTGAACCCCATGGTCATCCTGTGAGCGTTAGCGTAAATATCAGGTTGCAGAGGTCGTAATGGGTCCTTGTCTAACCCCACTGGGCACTGTTAGAAAGAAACATAAATCATTTCATAATTTGCAATTACTTCATATAGCTAATGTACACAATACAGTATGGAATACAATCTAAAAATAATAATAAATGTTAACACTTAAAAACACTGGTTATAACTGGGTGGCAATAAGATAAGATAAGAGATAAGATAAGATTTCGTTCGGATTTTTAACCCCGGAGGGTTAGCCACCCAGGATAACCCAAGAAAGTCAGTGCGTCATCGAGGACTGTCTAACTTATTTCCATTGGGGTCCTTAATCTTGTCCCCCAGGATGCGACCCACACCAGTCGACTAATACCCAGGTACCTATTTGCTGCTAGGTAAACAGGACAACAAGTGTAAGGATCATCAATCATCTAGTGTTCTAGTCGATGCAAAATGTGAATACAGCCTCAAGATTTCAGATAATTTATCATTAACAATGAAGTGTTTTACCATATCCTGTAAGGTTTGCATGGAGGTTTCTGAAAGGTTGGATGGCTGGACACTAAGATATAATACACAAATAACCCGCACATAGAAGAGAAGCTTACGACGACGTTTCGGTCCGACTTGGACCAGTCACGGTATTGTGCCTTTTTTTTGTTACTAAGATATAATGTTCCAGAGTTTGACAATGGAACATTACATCCAGTGTATGGCACTGGAATACTGTATCCAGTGTTTGGCACTGACACATTATATCACTAAGATATAATGTTTCAGTGCATGCGAATTTTTTATTTTGTCACTGACATTTTCATACTAACCATACTGCTAGAGATACTTATACTTAGTCTAGCAGTAATAACATCTTGCAATCTACTGGCCTTGTTACTTCCCCATAGATATGTTTAACTCGATACATTTCATTGTGATGGATAATGGATCTGCTAGTCGCAATCTGTACTGTTCTACTTTATTCAAGGTCGTTTCTTGTCCTTTTCTGACAGTGTTTCGTAAACTTGTTTTGAAAAAAAAAATATATTCAACATTCTCTTTGTTAAATGCTTATTTAGGTAATTCATTAATTTTGTCATGCTCCTGGAGGCCTATGTGAGATGAAATCCACAAAAGCACATTCAGGTCTCAGGCTATTTAGATACATTTAGGTCTCAGGCTATTTAGGGCAAATAAGGAAAGAGTCAGTTTCAATTAAACTGTGTGGTCGTAATTTCCGTAAGCTAAGATCAAAAAATATGGTAAACAGCTCAGTTTGTAAGGTGGGAATCCACTTATCAATTTTAATACACCTGTGTGTTATAGTACCATCAGGGTGGTTTACAATAAAAGCACTTCCCGATTGCTTTGCTAGGTTATAGACTAGCGGTACTTCCCCTTCATCTTCTTGAAGGGAAGAGAACCTTTAGTGGAATACTTGACGATATCCTCATTGCCCTACACAAGTTTATCAGCTTGGACTGGCGGTGCAACATCCCCCCAATGAAAAGCAGGGGCGCCATGAGTACGCTGAAACAATACAATAAGTGTCAGTGGCCCAAGACTGTTCAACTGCCTCCCAGCATACATAAAGGGGATTACCAATAGACCCCTGGCTCTCTTCAAGAGGGAGCTGGACAGATACCTAAATTCAGTTCCTTACCAACCTGGCTGTGGTTCATATGTCGGTATGCGTGCGACCAGAAGTAACAGCTTGGTTGATCAGGCCCTAATTCATCGCGAGGCTTGGTCATGGACCAGGCCGTCCGGGTGTTGACCCCGAAACACCCTCCAGGTATGCATGTAATGTAACCCGTCCTATATGACATGATAACATAACTAACTTTTGTTCCCAAAATGTAACCATCACATAGAATGGGGTAGCAGCCTATTACTGATTTATCTACTTTTTTTTCTAAATAAAATAAGTGCTAATTAAATGCTGTACAACTCTGCTCGTTTCAGAGTAGTGTACTAAGCGCCACACTATCTGACTAATCAATGTCATACTAAAATCAGCTCTAGATTTTTCCAGAAATATCACGATTAGTTATGCTGACGATGTGTGTGTATATACACTAAAACTTACCGCCAAATATGTGTCCGTTTAGAGAGGTCCAGTGTGTTTTCCAGAACATGTAACTTGACTCCCTTAACCTCACCCAGTCAGTGTCATATATCATCCCCACTGCCCACCTATCAGAGCCAAGGGTAATAAACCACGTACTTAACTGAGGTTCCCTCACTACCATCACTCTACCACTTCCAGCCTTCACTGTGAGTATCAGTTTTAAGTTTAGAGCATCAAGAATAATTTAGGCTGCGAGTGTGTCACTTGTGCTCACTATTTAATGTTTTATTCCCATAAGTATAAATTTAGAGATCATGCATTTGTTTTAGCAAAATTGTTGAATTCATTGTTCATGTGATTTTCGCGTGTACGCTTTTCACATTGATGACGACCTTTGTATTGCATTGTTTAATAGTAAAATAAAAAAAATAATATAGAGATTGGTCTGAGGGACTATGTATTACTATTAAATTATTTACCCAACAGAATGTTGAGATCCAGTACATGGACCCATTATGTGCATCGTAGTCTTTCATTCCACAGTAAAGATCTTATGGGCGGTAGCTGAGATGTATAACTTTTATTGCATTATTATTCTTAGGTTTTAATGCATTCCTTCTATTCATAATTCTGTGACAGACTCTTATTATTAGTCCTGCCAACAGCTCATTATTACTGTAGATTATAAAAGGCTGAGGACTAGTTCTTAGACCCATAAGGTGCCTTTGTAATCCTTTGACTACCACCCACAGAATGGGCATGAAACACGTAATGAAGCTATCAGACTCGTCCAGTGACGTGGACGGTGGCAGTATGCAGATTCGACAAAGATAGCGTTAGCATTATAAGCAATGGCAACTGCAGCTCAGTTAATTGATCCCAACTTCCCCTAACCGGACTCCAGCAAGCTTATTCAGGTTCATTTCAAACAATTTTTTGCAACTGTTTTATATAGTAACATGTGTAAATTTATTTAGGATAACCACTTAAATCCAAACATTGTGACCTATTACTGTTGGGGTCAAGTGATGAGTAGATATATAGGGTGGATACAATACTTTCATTCTTGCAACCAAGACTCTAACCTTATTGGTTTCGAACACTGTACACGGAATTGTGCGGTTATCTGGACCTATATAACATTTTATAAGGTTCGAGCAAGAGCTCTTGATACTAAACACTCATCACACAAAACGCCTATTAACAGGATATAACGTCCAGCAAGGATGTTTATACCAGACACCCAATATATTCGAAGTTTATTTACATGATATAACTTCTAGCAACGCTGACGAACTTCTAGCAACGCTGACGAACTTCTAGCAACGCTGACGAACTTCTAGCAAAGCTGACGAACTTCTAGCAATGCTGACGAACTTCTAGCAAAGCTGACGAACTTCTAGCAAAGCTGACGAACTTCTAGCAAAGCTGACGAACTTCTAGCAAAGCTGACGAACTTCTAGCAAAGCTGACGAATTTTCTAGCAAAGTTGACGAACTTCTAGCAACGCTGACGAACTTCTAGCAAAGCTGACGAACTTCTAGCAAAGCTGACGAACTTCTAGCAAAGCTGACGAACTTCTAGCAAAGCTGACGAACTTCTAGCAAAGCTGACGAACTTCTAGCAAAGCTGACGAACTTCTAGCAAAGCTGACGAACTTCTAGCAACGCTGACGAACTTCTAGCAACGCTGACGAACTTCTAGCAAATCTGACGAACTTCTAGCAAGGCTTACCAACTTCTAGCAATGCTTACCAACTTCTAGCTAGTCAGGACTAAAGAAACCACTCATGGCAAAATGTTTCCTTTAATAAATATCATAACTGTACATACGTCCCTTCTTCCACATGTCGGTAGCACAGTACACTGTACAACTGAAATGGGAAGTAATCATGTTTGATACGAGGAAAGGAAGGGGTGGCTCCAATTCTTTGGATCAAGAGATCCGAACTGGCATCAAAACAACGTTCTCCTCCCAGCCCTTACAATACAATACAGTACAATTTTTATTTCCTTTCAAGTTTACATTGAGATTATGTAATTACAATAATGAACTGCAGTACAAAGAGTGACTGCCATGCCATGGCATTATGGCCAGACTAAATTAATGTCTTACAGACTACTTAATACTAGAGATATTGATCATAGTTTAAGTTGTACATGTTTTTTTTTTTTAAAGCCGACAGTAAGTTTGCTCAAGTTACAATCTGGGGATATTACATTGGGATAATTTGAAAGTATTTTGTAGGTTGTGTATATCAATAGTAAATGTTTAAGTTATATTATTGGAAGATAATACTGAGCGTTGGTGAAAGTAGTTTACAGTATGAGAATAGAATATGGTGTAAGGTACCATTGAGGAGAGTAAGGACACTTATTATATTTGTCAGGTGACAGGACAAGTGTCTCCTAACACGGGTCTTAATCATATAGATGACCAGTGTGTAGATATAAGGAGACTCGTCCACTTGGCTTGGGTTATACGTATTATACCAACATTTCCGTCCAATACACGTCTAGTCTGTGCTACAGTAGTGCCACTTAACACCACAAGTTTATCTTGTAACCATTTACTTCCCTTACCAGTATAATAAGACAATATCTTTTGTTTTCTTTGGAAAATATACAAGAAAATATACAAATAATTTCAGTGGTATAAATCTGTACGTTGTGGGCATAAATAAATATATTGTACCATGTAGATTTAACTTAGAATAATCCTCTAAAATCAAAATATGACTTATTCACATTAGTTTTAGGTAGGTAAGTATTAGATTTGTCAGGGAACAGGACAAGTGACATTAGTCTTAGAATTCCTAACTTTGTTCACCATTTATTAATGGTCCAAGATCTTACGGTATATTGTGTAACTGACTGTAAATACACTCACAGCTGACATTAACCTCTACTTCAGTCATCAAAGTTTCCTGTGTCATAAGTGTTTAGGTGAAATACCGTCTTAATGATTCTTGTAGTCAATAGATCTTGGAATCAGATTAATGAAGATTATTCTGGCTGCCTGGCGGGTGGGTTGGAGCACAAAGAAATAACTCAGTGTATCTCTCCACCCGCTAGTGTCTGCAGCTGGCACACTCGGCTGCTAATATTCATCCCTGTGTAAATTGCCATTGGTTACGTGTTTATTGTGTTATCCAGGTTATGAATTACATTGTTAATTACCGAGTATGTAGACTCCATTGTGTTACCATGGTGATATTTATGTTTATACTGCATAATGTGTTACCCTGGCGCAAATTGTTATGCAAATTTCATTGTATGGTATCATGGGAACGTGTAAATTAGTGTTGCTACCATGGTGTTGCTTGTGACTCTGTACGGTGTTTTGTAGCTCATTAACACTGTTCGACTCATAATATAAAGAACTTGCGTTCGAATTCCGGGCGGGCAAAGTCCTATATGAGTTTTTATTTAAGTTTTCCGTACATAACACGCTTTTTTATATACAGTGATCATCAGGGCACATAAAAAAAGTTCAGTCTGTAGATTTAGCGTAAGATAATCTAATGAAGTTGGCGGCCCGTGGTCTGGTTGGCAACGCTCTTGCCTACCAGTGTCCGTGGTTCGATCCCTGGCAAAGGTGGAAACATGGGTGTTCTTCCTTACACATGTATCTGTAGGTACCTGGGTGTTAGTCGACTGGTGTGGGTCGCATCCTGGGGACAAGATTAAGGACCCCAATAGAAATAAGATACAGTCCCTTGATAACGCAGTGACTTTCTTGGGCTATCCTGGGTGGCTAACCCTCCGGGGTTAAAAATCCGAACAAAATCTTATCTGTTCTGTGTACCTACCGCGTTGTACTCGCCCTGTTGTAAATGTTATGACAGGATTTATCATTTATTGAATTAAGAAGACCAGGATCAAGGGGATATAGATGAAAACTGAAGACACAGATCATCCATAGGGATGTAAGGACGTATTTCTTTAGTCTCATGGTGGTTAAAAAGTGGAGTGATCTGAAATGGGCAGCTTTAAGAGATATGAGATATGAAAATTGATAAGGCCCACGAGATAGTCAGTGATGCCGGTCAAAGTAGTGTAGTGACCAGGAGCTGAGTCTCATACCCCGGAAACAACTCGGTGAATACATTACAGGGACACCATGAGTACGCTAAGCAACAACACAGTAAGTGTCAGGAGCCCAAGAACTGTTCAACTGCCTCCCATCATACGTAAAGAGGATTACCAATAGACCCCTGGCTGTTTTCAAGAGGGAGCTGGACAGACCCCTCAAGTCAGTACCTGACGACTAACCGGGCTGTGGTTCGTACGTCGGTTTGCGTGCGGCCAGCCGTAACAACCTGGTTGATCAAGCCCTGATCCACCACGAGGCCAGGTCATGGACCGGGCCGCGGGGGCGTTGATCTTCGGAATGCCCTTCAGGTAGACATGCTTTCACAGTAGCTGTGAATCGACCCCTGTAGCCACATATAGATGAGTATACACACACACAAGCGTGATTTGCAAATTGAAAATATTAATAAAAAAAATCTGAAAATGGAAGCAGGAAGGTTGTGTTTGCACTGCCCGTTCTCGTACAAAATGTGATAAACGTTCAACTTGGAACGTTTCCTGTTTTTTTTCTCTCTCGGCCACCTCGTTGCCAGACGTATCGCTGCCAAGATTTTTTTTTAATATGCTTATCTACCGTTAAATATACGTTTAATGGATTTATGTAACTTAATTAATGTAAATTAGCCTAACCTAATGAAATAAAGAAAATGTGACTTGGGAGAAGAAAGTCACGTAAAAAAGTGGACGCTTCACATCTGGGCAGCGAGGCATTAATTATATATAATATATATATATATATATATATATATATATATATATATATATATATATATATATATATATATATATATATATATATATATATATATATATATATATATATATATATATATATATATATATATATATATATTAATATGTTTTAAAACCTTAAGCAGCGCTGTATAACCTTGTGCGTCTGGCGCTTAGTTTCGATTATAATAATTTAAAACTTGAAATCATTCTTATAAAATGTATTAAATATGCATTACAGTAACAATTAGTTATGTCACCATGTACTGAGACATAACTCATTTTTTTCTAGGTTGCAACCGTAATACATTATGGCTGAATATACTTACCATGGTATCCTGAGTATGAGAGGGAGCCGCATATCCGTCTTCAGCTTCAAGTCATGTGATGGGGACAAGTTTGTGGTCTGCATGAAGGCCTGTATATGTATCAATGGCGAAACAATCAAGAACAACAGATTTCCTAGAGATGTCCTGTCAGAACATAGTGGCAAATTCATCGTAACCAAACTACACAAAACTAGCCAGTGTTATGACTATGCATTTGAAATTCGGGACAAAGACAGCACTTGTGATTGTGCAGACCATCACCAGTCATACATTCCAGAGCCAGGCAAAACACTGTTTGGTATCCTTATTGATTATAGTTCTGTTAAGGATACCTACACAGTGGCGTGTGGACCATTTGGCTTTACTGTGCACTCTTCTTGGGTCACAAGCTTAGGAATCTCCCCAGAGTGTGTTGCAACTCCACTAACTTTTATCAGTTTCAAAGCATATTCTAGGGTCTATAGAGTATCTGGAGTGCATTACTTTAATGTTAATACTCCCCCAAGGCTTGAATCACTCAGTGACAGTATTAAGAGTACCATATTTTCATTTGAGCCCATAGATAAATCTCTTTTGATGGCAAACATTGTTTTCTCTGCTGCTTCTCTTCCAAGTTCCATTTCAGCCTCTTCTGTTTCCTCTGTGTCAAGTTCTAACTCGGTGAATATGTTAACTTTAAGTAATGGCGGCATCTTGGATCCAGCCCCTGCAGCTTCCTCTATATCCTCCACCACACGTATGAAACTCGACAGAAATTTGTTCCTGTCGAGTCTAAACCTGCAGGATATATCTATCAGCCTCAGTAGAGAGGCACTGTGTATTACCCAGACCATCGAGGAAGCAAAGACTAACCCTTGTAGTGTGACATCTTTATCTAAGGTTAAGAAGGCTCATACTTTTGATAATGGAGCTCCACCTGACCATACACGTCTTCGAATGAAATTGTTAGAACTCAACATAGATGATATGAAACCAACAATTTCGTCTAGTGATAGCCTCATTCCAATAGTCACTGTCCGAAAGTAAAATTTTTAAGAATTTTTTTTTTCACAGTAAACATAATGTATTTTTTTTTTTACTATGCATTTTGTAAAGAAAATTATATATTGAATGTTTGCAAATAAACATGATTTTTATATTGAAGTGTTATTAAAAAATTGGAAATTTGTAGGTTTATTTTTTATAGATACTTCTATGGAAATATCTGAATAACTGAACCATATAAATTGTATATCCTAAATGTTACTCACAATTATAACACACAATTATATCACACAAATGTTAAACCTAGCTTTGTTATTTTTTTTTTAAATACACTACCTGAATGAACAGCAATGCATGCAACCATATGACCTGTCTTTGTAATACTCACTTGTATTTTATAGTTATCTGTCCCCTCAAGGAAGGTTCCTTGATGTTGGTGAGGGGCTCTTGATTTAGGGAATTGGATCTATGCTCCAGTTCCCCGAATTAAGCCTGAATGCCTTCCACATCCCCCCCAGGCGCTGTATAATCCTCCGGGTTTAGCGCTTCCCCCTTGATTGTAATAATAATAATATAGTTATCTGTTTACAATAATGTCTTATCACTGATTTCATCATTGCTTAGTTAATTTTAAGTTAATTTTAAGCCAGCCCGTAATGCTATGCATAGTATAAGTGGCTTTGGCATGCTGCTCTTATCTGTATTTTTTTGTACCTCTGTATGTATGTATGTATGATGGTGATAAATGCTTGGTCAAACGTAATTACACTTTATTTACGGGGTTTTCCCCTCAAGGGAGGTTCCTTGATGCTGGTGAGGGGCTCTTGATCTAGGGAATTGGATCTGTGCTCCAGTTCCCTGAATTAAGCCTGAATACCTTCCATCCTCCCCCACACAGGCGCTGTATAATTCAACGGGTTTAGCGCTCCCCCATGATTATAATAATATCTACGGGTTTAGCTCTTCCACATACTGTTTTTGATGGACTCTTGATCAAAGAAACTGGATTTAAATTCCCTATTCGTGGATCGAACTTAAATTCCTCCCATTCTCCCAGGTGCTGTATGACCCCTACGGGTTTAGCACTTTCCCCATGAATGCAGTAATAAATAAATCAGTAATATGGGCGCATATAATGTATATTAACAACTTTTAAAGAATGGGGGAGTGTTGTTGTTTGGCACTGAATTGTGTAATAATAATATCTTTTTCTACCAGTACATGTACAAGGTATACACACCATAGCTGACATCAAGGACATACTACCATATAGAAAGCTGCTTATTATGCTGAGTATTTAGGGCAAATTAGGTCAATTTTGTCCCAGGATGCGACCCACACCAACCGACAAACAACCTGGTACCCATTTTACTGATGGGGAACTTAGACAACCAGTATAAGGAAGTGCCCAATGTTTCTACCCTCGCCTGGAATCTAACCCGGACGATGGCCGTGTGAAGCGAGTACTTTAGCCCTAGCTTCACAGCAGGTTTTTGTACAGTGACTTTTTGTTGAGTTATTGGTTTTAGTTGATTTAACGTAGTAGATCCCCAGGTACAAATACCATAATGGTGAGGTAATGATAGATTAGAAAGTAGTTCAGTGTAATCAGTGTGTCTTAAGGTACACAGTAACGTATGTTGGAGAGGTTGCCTACTGTGTTGGAGACCTTTATGTGCTGGAAGTGGGTATTTAACTTTAAGTTGTGGTCTAGACCTAAGAATTTTTCCATCGGTTTGTCTTTCAATGGGAAACTCGTTGATTATTACATTTAGTGGGTCATTTGTAGTTCTGACCCCAAACACAATGTAGAATATTTTGTCAATATTAAGAGTGAGTTTAGTGGTAGGCATCCATATGTGTGTGTGTGTATGTGTGTAAAATAGGTCACTCCCTGAAGCACTTACAGCAGCAAACTATTTACGTATGTCGTCTGAGCGACTAGTTTGCTGTGCACCTGCAGTTCATCCTGTGAGTAGTAGGGCAAATAACAGGATTACAGAGGTCACAATGGGTCTTTGTCGAACCCCACTACCTGCAATCTACGTGGAGGGTGCTCCGGGGGTCACCCCCCCCGGGACCGAGTCAATGACCAGGCCTCCTGGTGGATCAGGGACTGATCAACCAGGCTGTTACTGCTGGCTGCACGTAATCCAACGTACGAACCACAACCCAGTTGATTGGGTACTGACTTTAGGTGCCCGTCAAGCTCCCTCTTGAAGGCAGCCACGTGTCTGTTGGTAATTCCTCTTGTGTTTAATGGGAGGCTGTTGAACAGTCTTGAGCTTCGGACACTTATCGCGTTTTCTCTTAGTGTACTCGCTGGTGAGGGGCTCTAGATCTAAGGAACTGGATCTGTGCTCCAGTTCCCTGAATTAAGTAAGTTTATTCAGGTGTACACAAATACAGTTACGTAGATTATCATACATAGCAGCATATGTGTAGAGAACCTGGGATAACTCAAAAAAGTCAGAGTGAATGGCTTTCACATCCCCCCGCAGGCGCTGTATAATCCTACGGGTTTAGCGCTTCCTCTTGATTGTAATAATAATAATAATCTTAGTGTACTAATAGCTCCCCTACTTTTCATTTGCGGGTATGTTGAACCGTCTGCCCAGTCCTTTGCTGTTCGTAGGGAGTGATTTCTGTGTGCAGATTTGAGCATTGTTACATTACTAGGAAGAAATACTAGTCATTTCATATCTAATCTCAAAATAAATTATATCTTATTACCACTTAAAACTGTGGAAAATTGCATTTAGCTGAATGTATCATTATATACATAACAATAAATGAACAAAGATAATTATTATTTATCAGTTACATAGACAAGTAGGAATTTGGGAAAACCTAGGGTCGAAAAAAAAATGTCCCCCTTCGATACCTGCCCTGGGTCTACCACAGGCTCTGGGAAAAATTAATTAAAAAAATTTTTACACGGAATATTAAAAATTATAATTTTTTACTGTTTAAAATTAAAAAAATTTTTTTAAAAAACAATTAAAAAACCCCCAAGAAAAAATTTTTAAATTTCCCAAATTTGACAATTAAATTTTAATGAAAATTTCATAAAAAAATTTTAGATACCCCCCAAAATTGGGGCATTTTGTCCACTCTGATATTTAAAGTTTTAAATAACCCCAATTTCCCCCCTATTTGAATTTCAAAAAATTTTTTTCCTCTAAAAAAATTCTTCCCCTTTTCCCCTTTTAAAAAATTTCAAAAAGGGGGAAAAATTTTTTAGGGGGAATATTTTTTTTCCCTTTTCTTTTTTAAAAAATAAAAACACTATTTCCCAAAAATTGTTTTGGAAAAAATACATATTTTCAATGGCCAAGGGAAAGCCCAAAAATGAGCTGGGGAAGGGCATAAAATTTTTCCCCCACAAAAAAAATTTTAATACCCTTTTTACAGGCCAATAGAAATTCCCCCCAACATTTGGTTCCTTTTAAACCATGATAAAATTTTTAAAATTTAGCAAAAAATTTTTGAGAATGGGGGGAAATAGGGGTTTTTTTCCCCCAATTAGTTTTGTAAACTATTTGACCAAAAAATTTTTCCTTCACCCAATTTTTTAGGAAATTTTCCTTTTTTTTCCCACACAATTTAACTTTTCCAAAAAATTCCTTGTCCCCTCTTTCAACCAAAAGGTTTGAAATTATATAATTATTTTTTAAAATTTAAACCCCCAACAAATTCTTGTTATTTGGGAAGGTACAATTTAAATTTTGGAAAGAAAAAACTTTTTAGCTGGACAAAACAAAGAAATAACCTTTTTTTACAGGAATTTGTTTAAAAACCGCTCCCTTTCCAATTAAGCTTTTACAAAAAATGGTTGGAAAAAGAAACATTTTTCCCATTTATTTTTTTAACTTGCTGACCCAACTAATTTCTCTCACATTAATTTTCCCCACCTTTTTGTTTCTTAAAAAATTTTTTTTTCCAAGAACTTTAAAAGGGTCCCATTTCAAAAATTTAATTTCTTTATTTATTTGAACAAAACTTAATAAAAAAAATTTTGAAACTGGGGCAACAACACTAGTTTTTAAAATTGGGCATTTTTTTAAAATAAAAGGTAAAAAACATTAAAAAGAACCCTCCAATCCCTTTTTTAAATCCAAAAAATTATACTTTTTTTCCATTTATTTTCCCGGGTAATCCAACTTTTTAAATTTTTTTCCCCTTTAATTTCCCCCGTTAAATTTAATTCCTCGGGAGAATTTATCACCCCTTTTTTAAATTTTAGCTTCCTAATTAATAATTTCCTTTTTTGGGGGTTGACACAACCAGGGAAAAATTTGGCCAAAACAATTTTGTTAATTTTTAATACTTTTTAATTAGGTTTTTCAAAAAACACCTCCCGAAAATTTAAACCCCAATAAATAACGGCCCCTTTTTTAAACCTTTTTTTTTTGTTTTTTTTGGAACTTTTCACATTCCCCGACATAGACGAAAGCTTCCAAAAGTTTCTTTCCCTTGGAAATTTCCCCCAAAAATTTGCCCCAAAAAATTGGCCAAACTTTTCTAAGGTTTTCCTATTTAAATGGCTTTATTGTGGTAACGGACTGGATGTGCACCAAATTTTACCTCTTAAAGCGAAAGGTTTTCAGGGGAAAGGGGGTCAATAGGTTTCTCAGGCCAAAAAAGCGGGTCAATCCCGGTCAGCCTCTTGTAAACCCACTCTTAGAAAGCTTTACTTAGTCCCGAAAAGGGCATAATGTTTCCTCTGAAATTTAATAAGATATCCCCTAATTTTTCCGTCAACGACAGACTTGTCATCAAACAGCATTTAAACGTCATTTTTGTTACTCCTGGCCTCAATTAAACAAAATCCCCAAAGGAATGGTCTTAGAACCCTTTCTTCACCCCCGTGTTTGGAAAATAGTGACCAAAAATTTTGGCTTGCTCAGGAGGTACCTCTTCTAAAAATTTATTAATTAATTTTTCCCAAAATTAAATCATTATGGAAAGTTAAAAATTTCCCCGGGTTTCCCTTACCAGTTCGCGGAGTGAGCCTTTAATTGCCCATTCCCATTCTGAAT